TTCCGCCTAGCTTATATACTATATAAGAGATGGCCAACAAATTGCTTGCTAAGCGCGCCGCCGGCTAAGTTAGCAAGAACTGGCTAAAGAACTTTGTTAAGCAAACACCTAAGCTTAAAATATAATTTAATTAAAAGTACAACTGTTAAAAAGCTCTATATAAGGATCTAAAAGCTATTAGCAATTAGTTTAAGCTTATACGCAATATAAAAGCAAAGTATAGTATTCTAGATAAAAATATATATAACTTTAATAAAGCCGGCTTCTAAATAGGTGTTATCTTAACAGGTGTAGTTGTAACAGGCTCTAAGCGCTGTAATTATCCAAAATCTATACAGCTAGGCAATCGCAAATAGATAATAATAATCTAAGGTGTTAATGCCTGTAGATAGGCTATTCTACTATTTATTATCTTTACAGGTATATACCACCTTTTTATATAGTATAAGAGTAATAATATACTACTAGATTAGGTTATAGCAGTAAGTAATAATAGCTAGACAATAAATAAGCTTAGTATTACCTGGCTACACTATTTTAATACGCATATAAAAGATCGCATAATAGGCATATACTAGCTGCTAATTATTAATAGCTATAAAAGCTATATCTTGCTTAAATTCTAACAGATTTATAAGGAAAATAATATTATTACTCTTTATATACTAGCGTATTTATTGCACCTGCTATAGCCGCTTAATATTAGCTGCTTTACGCTAATAAAAAAGGCGTATAGGCGCTAAATTAAGGACTTAGTGCGCTACTATATTAACTATATTACTAAGCTAGAGTTCCTACTAGTATTTAAAGCAGCTTTCTATAGCTTAATTATAAAGAGTAATATTTGCGCAGGCTTTTAAGGCGCAGGCCTTATACTACTTAATCTAGAAGCAGTGCTATTAAAGCTTAATATTAGGCTCTGTACGCTATTGCCTTTACCTACTGCCGTAGAGGCTCTATAGGAATTAAAAATACTAAGCAACGCTTTTAAGCTAGGCTCTTAATTAGCTTTAATTTATAAGCGCATTTAAATATATTAAAATAGCTCGCCTACAGCTATTTTTAACTTGCTTAATAGCCTCTCTAAAGGTGCTAAAAGCATAATATATTAAGCTACGCTGCTGCGCGATACTGTTACCAGCCTTTAAAAGGTAAATAAAGCCGCTATAAAGCGCAAGGCGCGCAAAAAAAAGCGTATTTAGAGGGAAGGAACTCTAATAATAGAAGCAGGCTCTTAAATAGCTGCTTAACAGCTCGAAAAGAACGCTTAAAGTAAAAAGCAGTAAAGTAGAGCAGGCTTTAATAAAATCGTGCGGCGCTATAGGCGCTGCGGCGAGTTAGGGTATAATATTTATATATATAAAAACGATGCAGAGGTTGCTATAGATTAGGCTATAAGTTATATATAGTTAATATTTATTGGCGTTATAGAGCAATTAACGTTTAAGGCAGGTTTTTATAATAAAGTAGACGGCTCGCTTAGGTAGACAGCTCGCTTATAGAATACGTTAGGTGTAGTTAAGAAAAATAATATTAGGATTCCTTTAGAATATCTAAACACTCTTAGAATATATAAAGTATAGATACTTAATATAGTTTACTTTATCTAGCTCGTATTTATAGTAGTAATAAGCGTCCGGGTTATTATTACTATATTCCTTAAGCACTTTAAAAATAGCCTAAGTTAAAGTAAGCCCTTTAGGCTTTATTTTCTTCTAGTCCTATTTTTTATTATATAGGTCCTATATTATTATATTCTTACCCTTAGTAAGTAGGTTATTAAAAATAGCACTAATAGGCGTGCCTCTGTTAAGCTAATTATAGATAGTTTAAATTATATCCTTATTAAAATTTTAGTGCATAGCTAGAGTCCTCTTATCCGGATTAAACAGGTGGTAATTATAGCTAGAAACCTTAACTTTAAAAAACTAATTACCTAGCTATAGGTTTTTTATAAAGCAGGCTTTTATAGGGCAATCGTACTTTTTTAAACGGGTTTTTTTCTTCCGATTAGCAGGCGTGTATACACCCGCGCAATTATAATAAACAAGCACCTTACGCACCTAAGGGGGCGTGCGCTTATCTATTTTATTCCTATACCGGATAATTATATATCCTTCCTGCTTAGCCTAAGCGTTAATAGATTTTATACTATTCTCTATAGAAGCGTGGCGGCCCTAAAAGGGCGGCCGGAGGGGTATAGTATTAAGGTAATAATATAGAGGAATTAGTATTAATATATTAAAAGTAAGTGCGCAGGTAATATAGATTCGAACTAAGTATAAGCGGGTAAGTAAGTAAGTTTAATTAGTGGAACAATATTTATACGGGCCGGAGCTAGGCTAAATATAGGGGGGGGGCTAGGAAAAGAAAAAAAAGGGGCTATAGAGAAAATAGGGGGGTGGTAATTAAGCTTATCTAATATTTACCTATAGTTATAAGATATTATATAGTTATATAACTATTAAAAGGGCGCACTAGCAGCTAGCGCTAAACGCGCTAGGAACCTACTTTTAGCGGCTGCGCTTTTAACTTTTTTTTTTTTTTATATTACAATTTCTATAGTATAGTAATATAACCTTTTCTAATTACTATTTACCTATTAAGTTCTTATACTAAAAAACTAGACTCTACCTACTTAACTAAACTACTAGAATATTACTATATTATTATATTAGCTATCTATTATATAAGTTTATATAGTAAGTTGCTTTTTATATTTAAAACCTTATAAAAGCTTAGTTTTTAAAAAGAAGGTATATATTACGTTATTTTTCTAGGTTTTTTTTAGCAGTTATTAAGGTTACAGGATATTATATACACGGACGTCACGTGATCCCGGGCTAAGGGTTCTTCCGGCGCCTTGCGCGCTCTACTATATATATAGCTCGTAGCCGGAGCCTTTTTTCTCTCTACGCAACCTTATTAATAGCAATATAACCCTTTTTTTAGCTATACTCCTAATACTAGGTTATTTATAAGCAGTATTAGGAATCTAATTTAATTAAGCTTAAATTTGTTTTTTAGGGGGTGCCTTTACTTTTTCTACTATTTTAAGCCTAGGTATTAAGTGTTTTAATATATTATATATAATAGTAGAAGAAAGTAGTAGCTATAGCTATCCTAAATTATTATTAGGGTAATATCCTAATAATACAGTCCCTTACTAAAAGCATTTATAGGCAGACTAAGCTAAATAGATAAAATTATCGCAGGTACTACTTAGAGCCGAAATCGGGGGTGCTTATATATATAGTTATCTTAAGCGTAAAAAAAAGCAAATAGATCTTAAATAGAAGACCTAGATAAGTAAGGATTAAAAGGCCGGTATTTTTAAATAAAAAGTTCTAAGGAAAATAAAAAGTAGGTAGACTTGCTATTTATTATAATTATATATTAATTAGTTAAGAATATACTTAATACCCGGCTTTATACCTATAGGTATTTAGTATTTACAGTTTCTTAAAGCAGGTGTTAGTAATATATTTATTTACGCCTAGTAAATTTTATTATAGAGCACCTTTTTCTAATCTAAAAGGCCTAGTTCTAGAACCCGCCTTTTAAAAACAATATAAGGGGTTTAAAAGTAGTGTAAGTATCTATACTTATTATATTATACTTTATATTAGGAAATAGATTTTAATAGAATTCTGCACTTCTAGTAGGCAAATACTTTTGGAAGTAAATGCGGCAATTAGGGTGGAAAGGGCTGGTTAAGATGTTAACGCCATATGGTGTCCGAGGGCTCGCTGACCCGCCGCTGAGCCAGCTGTCTCGCTAGTGAGCCGCCCCCGGCCAGCTGATCTGCAGGATATCCACGCCTAGCGCACGCCAACAGCCGTGGATATACTATTAGGACAAGCTTAATTACCACCCCCTTTTTCTCTCCGTAGCCCCCCCCTTTTCTCTTCCTAGCCCCCCCTTATATTAAGCCTAGCTCCGGCCCGTATAAATATTGTTCTACTAATTAAACTTACTCGTTTGCCTCTGTATAGGCTGCGTAAAATAGAGAATATATATATATAAAACGGAAAGAATGCATTATCTAGGCTAATAGGAGTCTATTCACTCTATCTATTGTAGCTAGTCTAGAAGCGGAAAGCGCCTAGATGGCTACCGTCCAATTGCTGACTGAAAGGAACGCCAACTAGGCCTGTATACCATGGCCTCACACCCGAACATCCTTCACCACGAGCAGCCTCCTCCTTAGGCGTGGACATAGGGGCATCCTCAGGGGCTGGTTGGCTGTTGGGGACTAAGGAAATAGGCCCTGAGTAGCTATTGGAGTGCCTGCTTGTCCGGTGGAGCGATCTGGAGCTGTACCTGTGAGCTGTATAGGATTGTTCAACACTACAATGGTCCGCTCGACCGCCGGCGTGCCTGTGGAGACACCTGCCATAGTAATTTGGCTAGCCGGTGTCGCAATCTGCACGAGCAGTAGTCTTACGAGCTCGCCGGAGATACGATGTTCCTCCACGTGCCTGGTCCGCTTCCTCTACGGACGCGTGGCGGCCCCAGGGGCCGGCCGGAGAGGCACGGTGGTGAGGGTGGTGATGTAGAGGACGTGGTGTTGATGCATTGAGAGAGTGTGCGCTGGTGATGTAAATTCCTTATTGAGCACGAGCAGTCAAGCGAGTGAGTTTGATTGGTGGAACAATATTCATACGGGCCGGAGCTAGGCTTAATATAGGGGGGGGGCTAGGAAGAGAAAAGGGGGGGGCTATGGAGAGAAAGGGGGGGTGGTAATTAAGCTCGTCCATTAATATCGACCGCGGAACCTGAGATAGCCAGGGATTAATTAGTTCCCATCTAAATATAACCATGGTGGCCCGTGCAATAGTACCCAGCCACGTGTCAGTCTTCAGCTTAGCCTTTAGCGGCTTGGCGGCCGGCTTAGCGCGAAAACCCCACAATCCTCCCTCTCGCCATCCACGTCATTTCAACAAGTGAATGGATATTTTCTTTGAAGCATCGACTAGCACTTGGACTACGGGTTGGTAATGCCTAAAGCAGCGCGAGATCGCATCAGGTATCCTGGTGGAAGGGTTTCCCACGAGTTTGGTGTTCTCCTTCGGAAGACGACGAAATTCGGGCTCAACCTCTCGTCGAAAACATTCTGAACGATGTGGGCGACCTTATCGACAGTATCGAAGGTGCAGATCGGCGAGACTACTCTCATATCGAATGGAATCAGCTTACTGGACTATGAAGCGTCATATCTCAGGCTCCAAGCCCTACTGCAATCGCGGACTTTGTCGTAGATAAGGCCAATCCTATCTCAGCTGCATATTCCGGCGCTGTGAGGCGGCGCCGTCAGAAAATACCCAAAGCCAGAGTTGACCTAGCTGCTTGTAAGTAATATGCGAGTCCCAATATTGATGAAAAATGGATTTGAGGCTGAAAATTACGGCCTTCCACAGCTCGCGAGCTTTCTGAGCTTTACTGGGTTATTAGTGACATGTTCCCCAGCAAAACCTCAGCGAAAGACGTTCTGGAGAAATCACTCCAGGATACGAAGTCATTCCAAGACCTGATTGACCTTTTGGAACAACATTCTTCGAAGGTGGTCTCAAGTTATGATGCGATCTATCCTCGCGAGCCTCCTCATTTAACCAGCCTTGGTCATCTCGACCCCACGACTATACAACCACTCCAAGGCGCAGCATTTTGGGAAAAATTGAAGCGCAAACTTTCAAGTTCATAAGTGGCTGAAGCGCATGGCCAAACGGTACTCCCGAGGACATGAATGCCACAGTGGACGGGAGTGACGAAACAGCACAACAGTGAGATGAAACCACATGGCGGTGGTGTGAAGCTTCGACAGAGCCACTGGAGTATTCCAGGTGGCCTATCGCAACTAGGTGGACCTCTAGTCGAGGCTGCGTATATCCACGCGAGGCAGTGGTGCAGTTGATATGGCGAGTTTCGCAAGGAGCTCGCTGGCGAAGTTGCTCAAGTTGAAAAGTGAGCTGCGCGGTTACCGCGAAGCTAATTTAGAAGTACTGTACTCTTAACAGCAAAAATGTGGAAGTGAAAGAAGCAACGAGCCATGTTAGACTTTAGCCCGAGTGAACGCGATGCTAATTTCTGGTGAGTGTTAGGGACTGCGCCGCGACTGGACATCCTCGTTTCTGCTAGGGCACCATATGATCTAGGTCGATCCGTATAGAAAGTTCGTGCCAGCACTTAGTTGGCTCGTTCCATCATAGCGAGCGTCGTGATGATGGTGGGATAGGGACGAGCAGCTCTATTGTAAACGGTACGCAACAATAAACCCGTGCGCTGGAATCTAAAACTAGACAGCACGTGATAGCGATAGATATCCCAAGAACAACGCCACATTTCAAGTCAATCTGGCATAGTCTAAAATATAATACAGCGCACGTAAGCGCACCAGCTCGTTCCGCCAAGACGCATAGCAAATCACTCCAGACGGAGAAAACCGGAGTGCCTGATTCCAAAGGCTGGGTATCTGCAAGATAGAAAAGTTATCTTATTTTTTAATGGAACTATCACCATAAAGCCCCGAAACCTAGGAATGTATTGATAGCCGTAGTAGAGCAGGGGTATAAAGATAAAGCGGATGCAGGCGCTATAAACGGAACGATCAACAGCCAAAAACGGTTTCCCAGTTCTAAACAGCGATTCGGATAAGGTAGCAGTGCAAATCAGACTGCATCTTGACTCCCTAACTGCTGACTAGCTGGGCTTCTACTCACAGTGGTGTCGAGTGAGCAAGATTAGAGCCACGCGGTGATGACTACGTGTGCCCGGACTTATGACCTACCTAGTACTGAGTCCTAAAACATAAGTTTGGGCACTGTCTTACCACTGCATGGAGTACCCCTATGGGCTTTCAGAATGCCAAAAACGATGTCAATGACGATGCTGTGGGCATTGGGCAGCCTTTTTACTGGCTGGATACACTCTAACTGGGCTTCTCCTCACAGTGGTGTCGAGTAAGCAAGATTGAAGCCAAGCAGTGATGAATGCGTGTACCCAGACTTATGGCCTAGTACTGAGTCCTGCAGCATAACTTTTGGCACTGTCTTACTACTGCTTGGGCTACTCCTATGGGCTTTTCCTAACTCCGAACACAATGTCAATGACGATACAATGGGTATTGGGCAGCCTTACTGGCTGGATACACGCCAACTGGGCTTCTCCTCACAGTGGTGTCGGGTGAGCAAGATATGAGTAGGTCGAACAGGATATTCTGCTTGGGTAAAAGAGGGACTATAGAGTCCTATCTACGAGATAGGCAGTTTAAATCAGCCTCCAAGCCGTCCACCTCTGCGAAGTCCATCGCCGGGTCCAACCTGCTTCAGGTGACTGAGCACACGGCCAATCGGAACGCCTGCACATGCTCAATTGAGTAGACCTGGAGATAAGTTCTCTGAGGAGGGGCCAAGACGTAGTGAGTATGAGAACAGAGATAAGTACGCTTTACCTCATATGATACAACTACGTATGAGAGAAAAGTAGGCACTTCTTCTCCCATAAGTGTATACCCTTACCTAATCTCCGGAGGCTGTCTTCGTTTCTGCATTGGACGCTTTGCCGATGCAGACCGCTTCTCCTAGAGATGACTAACCGCTCACGTGGCTAGTCTCGACCGTCTCGACGGCATAACCTCCAGCAACCGCCGACGCTCATCCACCCGACCTGCACATCCTCACACGAACTTCCAACAAGTACCAGCCATGGAGCTCGCCAGGTCCACGGAGCAGTACACCCCAGCACAGCCATGCTACAAGACTTCGGAGGAGGAGAGGGCGCGCGCGTGCGACCCGGAGCAATGGAGGGAGCTCATAGGGCTCATCATCACCGACGGCATGGACGCACAGGAGCACACCGTTGACAAAGTGCCCATCATACTTGGAAAGTTGGGTATTGGTCGATACGTCCTGCAGTCCAGCTCCGCGCCGCAGCAGCCCCCTTCCACGGCAGCGGGTGGTCAACCTTCTACTTCGGCGACGATAGCTCACCCTCAGAGTGAGTATAATGGTGCGAGAGAAGCGATACAAACAGCTTTACAGCAGCTTTCCGGCTCAGGGCAGCAACACCCTTCGTCCACCGCGACCGATAACGGCACACCCACTTCAACGCTGGTAGACTATATTCCCAAGTCACAAGGCAACAGATGGACCAAAAAGCCGGCTGTGCCTAGCCCTGACATGGACGTTGTCAATATCGCGGAAGCAATGTTCAGACACCCCTTCAACAAAGAGTCGCCGGAACACGTTATTCAAGATTTGATGGCCGGGGATGCCACCGTGTTGGCAGACTACAAAGCCCGCCTGCAAAAGGTACTCGATTACGTACCACATCTCCAACGCCGCGCCACTTTCTGCCTCATCTTCGTATTCTTCACTCCAGACGAGATACTCGCGAGCGTCACGCAAGCCGGGTTCCCCATCTCTATGGATGGGATCAAGGGCAGGATCAAGACCTACCTTAACACCATCACACCGCCCTCGGACTACCCGATGTTGTGGAAAACTTTGTCAGAGCTTAACGATAACATTCGCAAGAGAATATCGATCCCAAGCACACCGGCGCCTTTCAATCTTGTTCCTAGGGGCACCGCCGAGGGTGGTCTGGCTGTGCCTGCTCTGGCTGCGCCTGCTTCGCCAATTGCAGGTCCCTCTGCAGAAATGGCCGGCGATCAGGGACATCATCAAGATCCCGAACCCTCATTCTCCGCTACGCATCCAAGGCGGCCAAGACTGGACGAGGCGATCCTGGGAGCTGAAATGCCACATGCTTCAGGTTCCACCGCGCCGATCGACCCGGTCACTGGTATGCTCGACAGAGCGGTGTCTCCAGCTCCGCCGCAGCTAAATAGCATGGCTCGCATGATCCTCCAAATCATTGGCTACGGACTCTCCGTCGAGGAAAACAGGATCAAGAACTTGCCAGAAGCGAGCTCAACGGGAGGGATTGGTCACTACAAAGTTGCGAATGGGGCGAAATCACTACAAAAAGCTGTTGTGGACATCATGCTCAACTACTCACCCCCTGCCGGAGGGGAGGTTATGCTTACCTTTGTTCCGTCCAGCTTTGCGCAAAACGGCTCGGAGACAGAGCCCGTTTACACACCTTTCTTAGCCTCGAACCTCGCACAAGCTCTGAAGAATCACCTGTTTGAAATTCCGAAGGAACAGTTGGCGGACAGTTTGGCCGCTATACCTTTGGACAGACAACTTATGAGCAAGTACAAGGGCCAGACTATGCCGATCCTTCGCTACGCGCCTCATCTACATACGAACGTGACTCTTCTTCTTCTCCTTCTATTCCACACTGAAAAGGAGATCGTGGACGCCAACCACCATCTCGGATGCATGATCACCATTGAGGATGTTGACGGTCGAGTTGATCAGGCATTCCGCAACGTCTTCGGAGCTGATATCTCGTCCAAGAAGGCGGTTTTCCTGATGCAGGCAACGAAGGTGCGGTGGTTGGCAGGCCTGGCCGATCAAGAGCGCCGCCGAACACTGCAAGTTTCTTCCAACCTCCTAGAGAATCGAAATACACGGGACGGAGAGAATGGAGCGGAGGGTAGTGGACCTGTCCAGGAGTAGGTAGATTTTTCTCGAATACCCAAAAGCCATGCCGTACTGCGCTGGAGATGCATGAGTAAGGCTGATTGTTCTCATGTGCAGGTTGAGATGGGGGTATGTCATCATACCGAACGATATCGGGGGTTCATAGGTACTTCACAGAGACTAATAATTAGAGAGCTTCAACTCTATACTTCCTACGAGGCTTTTCAAAGAACGGATATACTCACACACAGACTTGGACGTGATTATATGCACTCGCTTCTAAAACCAGGGATCTGTCCCGCTTTCATGGTTTCTGATAATTTCTTGCAAATGACGGCGATAACTGTTGATGACGCTCCCATATATGCTGCTCGGGTATCTCGTTTTAATATCTGGCAATGCCCAGCGGCGGCCCAGAGCAGATGCGACCTTCTCCAGGTACTGCTCCAGACCGAAGGCATGCAGAACTTTGCTCTTCGTCGCGCGCATTATCTCCTTGACCAATATTCGGCCACAACTCAGCACTCGGTGCTTGATAAGATTTCTTGAGGATGCCACTGTCCGAGAAATTGAGTAAACTTTCACGAACGGCGACACAGACTTTCGCAGCGGCGGCGCACTGACATTCACGACGGTGGAATGCCTCTCTTCGCGCGTAGTCACTTCAAAAACGCTTCGCCATCGACCTATAAAAGTCTCTGTATTTCCAAGGTCAAGTCTACAACACGCCTCTAATCAACCACACCCACCACGCGCCACCATCGCCGCCTGCTTACTACACCGCAACACGACCCACCACCACAGCTTTCCAGTACCATTCCAAAACCGGCCTTTGCCAGGTCCTTTGCCATGGGTGCTGCTATGCCAGCGGATCGTAAGGGGAAGCGCTGCACTCCTGCGCTTGCCCATGATCCCGTAGCACCACTCCAAGCCATCGCGACCAGCCCTGCGATAGATGCAAGTCCCCGTCACGAGACCGCTTCTGTGTCCCAGTCAGCCTACACCGATGCTTCTACAGCTAGTGCTCAGCACTTTGACTATGCGCCTGTTGTTCTGCGAGTTGCTGTGCCCACACAAGCTGTCACTGACGCAAGTGTCGCTGCAACCATGCAGTCTCATCACGACTCCAACTCGTATACTCCGCAGACCTCACATGCAATAGCCCCTTCGAATGCTCCAGCTCCCACTACGAACGGGGCGTCTACCGCAATCCTGTCCATTCCGCTATTTTCCGCAGCCGAACAATCCACAGCGCGAGACGCAAAAGAAGTGCCTCTGAGGGCCTTCCATGCCGGCAAGAAGTCCGGAGAACAACAAACGTAGAAACATCGCAAACTCCAAAAAAGGGCCTCGGACACTACCGATACGCGAAGACCCCAAGCGAGATGATTCGTAGGCCGATCCATACCAACCCGCCCACTATATACGAGGCGCCCACGACGATCTTCGTCCCGACTAAGCAGAAAGTGGACGATCCGAAGCGACCTCTTCAGCCTATTTTGAATTCGGCTATCGCGGGGGCTTTCAGCCCACACCCTTTCAGGCACAAGTCGGCGCAGCGCATCGTTGATGATGTTCTTTCTGGGGACGCGGAGATTCTGAGGGAGTGCAAACGGGCTATGGAGGGTGTTCTTCGATCTACGCCACATTTGCACTCCAACGCTACGTTTGTGCTCCTGTTGATGTTCTATACACCAGGAGAAATGGGACGTGAGGAGCGCAAGTTGGGAAGTGTAGTAGAAAATAAAGCGGTGGCTAGACGGCTCACCGCATCCATAGAGCGGATCAATATGTCAAAGGCCAAATATGTTCTTAATCGAGAGAAGGCGCTTGTCAGGCTCACAGCAACTCCGGTTAGGGAGTTTGTCAACAGCTTGGGTCCACTGCCAACAGCTGCTGTGGAGGATGAGTCTGAGGAGTATTATTCCGAGGAGGATGAACCTGGGGAGGATGAGATTGAGGAGAATGGGTTTGTGGAGGATGCGGATAACGATGAACTCGCGATGATGCTTCAGGAGCAGCTCGAGCAGAGCTCTATGCCTTGGGAGGGTGATGATGAAGATAGACTCACGGGTATGCCCATGGGGCAGCTCGGGGAGGATTCTAACGCCAGACAGCTGGAAAACTCCAGGAATGATGACCTTGAAAACCTGTCAATGCAGGCCATCTGCTCCACCCCCTCATTTCCCGCACCACCGGACAACTCCTCAATGAAGCGCAAGCGAGACGATACTGAGGAGATCGAGTTGGGAGCAAACGAAGAGAATTCAGCGAGTGAAAAGGCGAAGACGTGCTGATGACTATTGGCCCTCCGGGAAGCTATATGTCCTGCTGTGTGCCTAGGATCGTAGCGTCGATATCTTATGGGCACAGCAGAACGTTGTTTCCAACAGATCAGTCTGAAGGTGTTTACATCGGGCGCCAGGGGTGAGGCTACGGACTGACATCTATGATGGCGGGCGCTATGGCGGACAAAACGCCATGCACGGATTGCGAGGTGGAATTGATTCATGCTAGCGGCAAACTAGTACACCTTTCTTTGTCGACTTTCTAGTCACATTTCAATGGCGCTTCTTTCATGATAGAATGACTAGTATTTTCAAGTATCAGCAATTAATGAATCAGAGGACCCGTAGCCCGTTTCATAGAGCATATGTTGATTTAGTGAAGCGACCCACAGACCCTTTGTTCCTAATGTATTAAGGAGATATTATTGTACATAGAGTGTTACTGGGCTAGATTCAGACCCGTTTGAATGATGAAAAATAAGCTCGTAGTCGCTTCGTGGAGTCTCGTGAAACTGACAACTAGAATTTCGGGTATTGGTGCCTTCAGCTACAGACTTCTGTGCATCATTTATCGTCACAGAATAAGGAGTTATAGGCCGTGTAAGTGTTGCATTGGATGATGATGATAGAGAAGAGAGAGGTCTCGAGAAAGGTGATGCTATATACAGAGTGATGTGACAATTTATGCTGTAGGCGAACTCAAGGCGGTTCATGTTTTACGGTAAAGAGACTTTTCCCAGCCAAGACCATCGTTTCAAATAGCACTTCCACAAACGCATGGCCCCTCCTCACCTCGGCGCCTGTGTTGAGGAACAAGGCGAACGAGTCGCTTTAATATGTACCCACCGCAGGTGATGGGCGAACCGTCCAGGGCGAAAGGACCACCACGCGTTGAAGAACAAGGCAAATGAGTCACTTTAGTTGTACCCGCTGTAGGTATCTGGTCAACTACCCATTCTGAATTTCCATTCCAAGTTCTCAGAGTGTATCGGGGATAGTTGGTGAAGCTGATGTCGTTGGCCAACGGGCTCAGAACCATTGACTTGATCTCGGTGTTTGCCAGCTCTGAAAATGTGGTCATCATCGCCTCTACCATCGCGGGGTTTGTAGCCATTTGAGGTTTGGTGATGAGATCCCCACCGGCCAAGACATACCTGATAGTGTATATGAGGGTAGCCGCCGCAGCTGGAGTGGCAGGAATCATCAGTGGCTCTCCAGAAGAGATATTGTCGATGGACCTGCCAGTAGCGTCAATGGCAAAGTTCTTCTGTCGGGTCCAAAGCGTCTGAGCCAGCTTCCCCTAGGTGTTGAACTCCACTCTCAGCATTGATGGTCGTGAACTAGACGGTGATGGTGGTGGTGCTTTCATTAGGCGTGTGTTGGGGCAAAAGGCCACGACGCCGGGTCCTAAATACCGCTTACTAACATACACAAATGCAGCAGCTTGCCAGCCTCTGTAAAACCCTAAAAAACCTAGGTATCCCTAGGAAAATAATAGAGAAAGAGCATCTAGACACGCCTACTACCTGCCTTCCATGCCTGCCTGTCGTCATGCCTGCCATGCCCTGTCTCCCTTCTCCCTTGTGTATGCTATATGCGACTGAGAGTGTCCTGATCCAGCTCGGGCGGTTGTTAGGCCACCTTCTAAGCTGATTGTTCTGTGTCTGGGATACCTTCTCCCTAATGTAATGCTGATGCTGCGTCGCTGCTCTTGGCGTTACCGCCTATGTAGTATTGACTTACGGCAAGTCATAGCTATTTTAGAGGACAGGCCCTTGTAGGATGCGTCCGCCTGAATTTTGTCTTCCCCTAGGTCCTCTCGCCTAGCCGTAGCTAGAGAGCCGCCCTTCGCTGTCAGCTGCACTGTAGTAGGTACCCGCAGGTGCTATATTGCTACATACTATGCGGGTATACTGATAGGGAGTCAGGACAAAGCCTATAGGACAACCGGCGATCAGACGTTGACAACATGTTCTAGAGCGCTGGCAACGACGATTCCGGGGTTCCAATGTGTCTGATTGTGTGCGTGTCTTGCAACACAGCGTGTATCAAGATGGCATCGAGATAGACGCTGCATAGCAGTGTGGTAATGGCCCTATAATGGAGTGTGTGTGTTGTGGCCTGCAAAATAGCCTCTTTTTGCTAAACAGGCGAGACGCCTACCCAACCGCATTGTGAGACTCTCGGTCAAGTCCTAATCAGCTCAGTAGGGCTTAAGAGTTGATTGCTGCCATGAAAAGAGTCTGATAAGTGGTGGATTCCGAGAGATGAGTTCCATTGTTGCGTCGTGTTTTTCGTCGTGAACCAGACCAATCGAATAAGGTGATGGCTCCGCTAGTGATCTTCCCGTCCGTCATTGGTAGCGAGAATGATGAGACGGTTCGCTGCGCTCGTGGCGGGGTGCCTGCAGGATCAGTTTGGGCGGTATCAACGAGTCCTTCCGCCTAAGCTTAGTGCTGGAATGCATCAGTGCTACAAACCATTGGTCCGGCGCGGCGTCCACCGCATTGCTGGCGGAGGCAGCAGCTTTAATGGAAAAAGAGAAGGAAGCATACCCGGTCAAGAACTGGCTCATGAAGTACGAAGATCACTCAGAAGACCAGGCAACGGATGACGGTATCGCCTCTCGAGACCGCGTCTCCTATGGCCCCGACGACCTCCAGTTGTACACAGACAAAGCCAAGAGCGCAGACGACTTGGCTGTCTCCGTGGAGGCCTGTTCCGAAGACGGGTTTATGACGTTGCGGGAATGTGCATTCCATCATTTGGCGCTTCCTCGCGCTGTCAGACGCGAAGCCTAGGAGGTATGTGGCGCGACCTCACCCAAGTCGAGGTCATTACGAAGCGCAACCTCGCCCACTTCAACCACCAAGTCAACATACTTCGTTACTAACAAATAGCGCAGTTTCCTTCCAGATCGACAACCCTCCACCTACACTCGAGCTTTCAGCCTTTGGTGGGGATGCCGTATTCTCTCTTCTGAAGCTGGAGGACGGCGCGACAACGATCTGGCGTGAGGCCACTCCAACAGAACGCTCCACGCTAGACCTCGAACAGTTCCCGCTACAGCACACGATATTCTTTGATCACTACCTCGTCCTTGGAGCGGCTTGGTTGAAGAAACGTCGTGCCGACCGAGGCACAATCCTGACAAGTCGCCAAATCGGAGGATTAATCGTCGCGACCAGCTACTACAAGAGGCCTTCGAGCAGGAGCAAGGCGAACCATCCTACATTCAACCGTTTCGCGGACGAACACGGAATCGGTACTAGGTAGGTCATAATCTGAGCACACGCATTCGTCACTGCTTGCCTCCAATCTTGCTCACTCGACGCCACTGCGAGGAGTAGCCCAGCTCATCAGCAGCCACTGAGTCAAGAAGCCGTGCAATTTGAGCTGCATGAAACTTGACATTACGCCTAGCGTTTTCAAATTCCATCAGGGTACCCCCAACAGTGGTGAGCGGGTGCACAGACTTAGATATGGCCTACCTCTTCGAAGGCTCGAAGCGAAGAGGGGTAATCAAACAGGCTCACAGCTTAGACATCATGGGGATAAAAGTTGTACTGTTTAGTAGTTTATGCACCAAAATTCAGATAATATCAAATAACATGTGGTGACGAGTTGCTGACAACGTCTGTAGTTGACTTGACATGCCTATTTGGGAGTTATCCAGTGACATAGTGTACAAGCCCTTTCCCTCATCTAGTACCACCCTTTCATCCCTATAGACACAGACATCTCTTCTTCTCGAATAACCTTCCATCGTCCCTTTCTGGAGCCCCCCTGGGTCCTTCGTACGCCTTGCTGTCTATACCATGCAGATCTAGCCATGCTTGGACGTCAAGCGATTGTCCGAAAGATTGTGGCTTAGAACCAGTTTCGAGGGATCTCTTCGCTCTGAGCCAAGGTCTGAAGCGACTGGGGGTCAAGAGGAGCCGGTATCGTATCGTCTTGTAGCCTCTTCCTCATACGATACGCCCCCTCCAACAGAGTTTGCTGCTCTTTCCGCACGTCGTCTTTGTCAAGTATCATCCGCAGCGAGCCTTCTATCCGATTGTAGATTCCAGATTGAGCAATGCCGTTCCCGAACAAACTGACAGCTTGCGCAATCTCGTCAGCACTGTGGTAGAGAAGAACGAGGCACAAGGTGGCGCCTTTGAGCAATAGGTGGGGGGCGCTGTGCAGCATCTTCCGAAAGCGCGCCTCGTGTTTCCTCAACGCAGCAGAGTCTCTGCATAACAGGTCCGCGAGGAAGTTTCCGGGCGATGTGTCGTTGAAAGGATGTTTCTTGATTGCACGGGCTACGTCTCCTGCTGCAATAGGGGCCAGGTTGATGGCTCCCGGCGACCTCGCGAACTCCATCATGGGCATAGGCGGAGTGGAGAAGTGCACAATGCCATCCACGATCCGTCGAGTGCGAGGCAACCCCACCGCCCAGTCCCGAATAGCCTCCGAAGGACCCCTAGGATCGCCGCCGATCATTCTGTAGTATCCTCCGCCGCGTACGCCATGTTGGAGATGGCACAGGTCGTTCTCATTGTGGTCAAGGCCCCACTTGATAATATGCGCGAGCAGGACAACTAGTCTCTCCGGGTCTCGGAAGTCTTCCTTCTCTTCGGCAGTGTAGTGGGTCTTTCGCTCGTCCCCGTAGCCTGGCTGTTTTGTAGTTTCTCCCGTAGCCGTAGCGGCTCCTAGTATGGTTAGCGGACCATTTATTTCATGGCGGGTTGGACTCTGCGGACCATCTGTGACTTTGCTGGCCTGCTCTGCCGACGCGTCGGGCTGCACAGAGGCGGACGCCATGTCAGTGCCAGACATTGCGGAGGTGGTTGGCGCTGTTGTAGATCGTGTCTACGAGGCTTTGCTGTAGCGACAAGGGTTTGGCATCCTGGACATCGGTATGGCTGTATAATCGTTGGTGTGGGTCGTGCAAGCAGAGAAAATCTGGAGCTGATCGTGGATTTTGATATTAGCCATGCCATTCAAGATTTCAAAGGAGGTAAGAAGCAAAGAATGAAACTCGCAATGAGGGCCTCTCACACAAGCTACATGTACCAACCTTCGAATCGTACGGAGTTCTAGTAGCTGGAGCGCACTTGCGCGGTGCGAAGTGTTGCGGGACACAAGGGGTCTGAACGGCCGAGATGGAGTTCTGTCAGTGATGCGCAGTACGAGGATCTGTTGACAAGAGCTGTTTCCCAAGGTGTGATCCTAAGGCCAAGGAGGCATTCAATCGCCTCGCTAATTTAAAATCTGTTCAGGAGAAATGACGAGCGCCAAGTAGTAACGATGCTGCTGTCGCTTTTCCTCGAAGCGAGACGCATTGCGCTCTTCCCTCCTACACCCGCATTCCAGCATCACTAACAACTAGCGATAAATCGACAACATTATCTACAGTATGTGAAATTCTCCTCCTAGATCAGGCCTTGAGTTCATATAGTTGATTGCTGGCTGACACTGCGCGGAGAACTCTAGACCCTCGCCCGCGACTCCAAAACCTACCTCCACCCGCCTCGATCTCTCCCTCTAGTTTCGCGGATCTTTCGCTCGAAGCCATGTCTGAACCACAAGTGTAAGCTTCCTCGCCTCTCCTTCATATTCAGACACATTCCTATAACTCTTGGCGGCAATTTGCCGTTGCTGAAGGAATCCTAACGCAAGGTTGAGCCTATAAAACTGTTTATTTGGCTTCCGCGAACGGGTGCTGACAAAATACAGCAGACAACTGGCCCATTCGGTCCCTCCTCCCTGCGCGCACAAGTTCAAGCTTCTAGTTTCGGAGATGGGATCCGCCGTTGTGTACATCTGCGAGATGTGCGGAAGTCTCCCCCACTGGTACATCTGGGAGTGCAAGAACTGCAAGCTCAAGACGTGCCGTCCGTGCGCCTACAAGGCATAGCAGATTCGGGTATGTTTTTCTGGTATCTGGACACATTAGTAGGGCGCTAACATAGTGAAGCACTAGACAAGCCGGTCGTGAGGTTGGCGCAATCTGGGGGCCGCCATTCTCTTCAGCGGCTTCGGCCTTCGATTCTGTTCGCCACTCAATATACTTTCCTGGATGAAGCCGCCTGATTAAGGGAACTTCGGGGGGTACAGCTCTGGTGCAAGCGACTGAGCTTCTATATATCAGAATGAAAGCACTGTTCTGATCGCTACATAATCTGTGCTATGAAACTAAGCCTTTCGTTGAAACCCGTGAAACTGCATCATATTAAATTGACACTTTCCATACGAATGCCATTGTGAGACTCGCCCTCATTAGGAATGATGTAGCCACAGGATTCAGAGGTGACGAAGGAGCTCATTTCTGGTTTTAGATTATTGAAAGAGTTTCAACATTCTATTTTATCATGACAGCGTCATTGGGCCCGAAAGCCATTCAAAATGCAAAGACTCATCCCCCGTTGAAGCCAGCCAACCCTCCTCCCTTCCTCCCTCATCTCCCTCATCCATAACGCTCAAAACAAATGCTGATTTGAAGGGTGGGCAGAAAGTGTGTAGAGCACGAAGTCCGCAATCACATAGCTTCAAGCAAACGTGCCTTCGAAGAACACATCAGACAGGTGCCGTTGTCCCTTCGACTCCTTCAACCACGGTTTCCTCTAAACCTTTTTTCCCGTCTCCCATTCTCGTGTAACTAAAACACAACTTCCTCGTTCTTGGCCTCCACCGTGCCCATCTTTCGTTTTGTTGGTGTCGGCCTTAGGTTGTGGCCTCTAGGAGTCTAGGCTTGCCACAACACTGTTCCGATCCCAGGCGTCGTCGTCCTCCAACGCCGTTGTCAGCGGTAGCTCTAAGGAAAGATCTGGGCTGTGGCTTACCTTAGCCGCTACTCCGGTTGTTCCACCTGCTTAGTCTCTGACCAGCTTGCCAGCCGCCCAGCCCACATTGTCCCCGAGGCACGCGCTGCTAAGCTTTCGCTTGCCGTCGTGTTCCTGCTGAAGTCGGCCCCATTTGAGTGTAGGAGAGCGCGAGGCCTGCGGTCAGCCGTGCTTGAGGCTGACAAGGCAGCGTACAAAGCCTGCGAGGTACAAAGGCTGCCGCCATGCTCTTGACCCCAGTCGCGGAGCAGGGCAGGCAAGTTGCGTATTCCGTGTGCATGTTTTGAGGCGAGGAGGTCCTTGTACCGCAGCTGATTGAAGCAGTCGTTGAGCTCGCCGACGGCCGCGGCTTGCATCTCGCTGAAGGAGCCGTCGAGCTCGGAACGTAGGGGATGCTGAGTTGCCGTATGGGCAGATTGTGACTCCGTGGGCGAATAGGCGACGGAAGTTGTGAAGGAGGTCTTGGTGGATCGAGCGATTGAGGAGGGAGAGTGCGCAATGCTCGTATGCGGGCTGGTAGATGGAGCACATGCTGTGAGGTAGGTAGGGGGAGGTCGACTGGTGCGCGAAGATGACGGTCGGTGGTGAGCGGGTAGAATAGGGCGGATTGAACGTTCACGCACTGCGCAGGTCAGGTAGCACGAGAGGCAAGACTCCAAAACCTAGTTTTTCAAAGTCTCGACGGAGTGACCCCGACGGGGGAGGTGGAAGATGGGCTGGTGGCGAGGGCATGGCCGCCGCAGATGAAACTCTGGGCTTCAGGTCAGAATGAGACGAGAGGCAAAAATGATAGCTCTAGATTCTTGAGCTTCTATTCTTACAATTGTAAGCATGGAAGAGGAACAACGAGATTGTCTTTTCAGCCGCTCTTGGGCGGGATGATTGGAGACTACTCTGCAACGCAGAGGCAGCTGTAGGGCAATTTCTACCTAGTCTTTTCCGCGTTAAAGAGGACTTGTGAGACCTACTGTTAATGCACAGTAGACGAGTGTCCAATTCATGCAGGACAGGCCCATGGGCGTTCTGGTGGGGCAATTGTTGCGCGTAGAGCTTACGGTATGCACTGTTGCGGATTTCCCCACAACAGGAGGGGCCCGACAATCTTTTTGCCCAAAAGCACGTCTTTACGGCCTCAACCACCACCAACACCATCTATCCCTTCATCTCTTAGCTCAAAGTTACCAAAAATGTGCAAAACACCACCCCGAAGGGTGTAGCCACCGTCTCCGAAATGACGGTTTCTCTAAGAGTCGAACACTAGAGTTATAGTAGAAGTTAGCACAGGTTGTCATGAATGGATGAAGTGGGCACGAGTGATGACGGGGAGAAAGCAACTACAGAACTGCTATCTACCACCCAGCCACCGAGACCGCTTGGCAGTGCCGTGCCTCCATTGGGGGGGATATTGGAGGTTCGAAAAATAAAAGCTTATAACGTATGAGTCCGTAACAAAAGCGTTAAGTGGGGCTTACCGAGGGGAGCATAGCATCGCACAACTGCACGTGCACCTGCACACGCAGCCTGCACATCTCGCCTTCACTCACTGACGTAGTGCTACTGCGAAGCCTTCTTCAGCACGCACTCATCCGGCCGTCCTTAAACTCCTTCTCTTCCTTAGACAGCGCCCGCAGCCTCATCACGTAGCTTTACGCCGCCGCCATCAACAAGCTCTACGCCGACGCCGTCAACAGCTCCCACCAACACCGCTCCCAGCTCTCCGCCGCGCCACCACCGTGCGTCCACAGCAGCAGCACTACCACGCCGCACGCCTCCTCCTCTTGCTCCTCCTCCTCATCCACCTCTTCATCAGCGCCATCACACACCCACCAACCCTCCTCGTCCCCCCGCTCCCCCAACACCTCTCCCACCACGCCGCCCGCGCCGCCCACACCAGCAGCAGCAGCAGCAGCCACCACGCTCCCGCGCCAAGAAGACCACCAAAGCCTATAATAGGCCACATCCCACAATCACCGGGCACAATGGCCCTGACCAAGCCGCCCCTCGCCAAGCCCACCGCGATCGTCAACATGCGCCTAAACGTGCATTTGAGCGGTACGCGGCGCCAGGAGTACGTGCGGGAGAAGGAGGCGTGGTACAGGAAGGAGGGGTATGAGGTCGAGGTTGTGTGGTAGAGTGGGGAGGCTTGCGGGGGGAGTGGGAGTTCTTTTGGCGGCTGTTGGGGGAACGGGAAGGGGTGCTGGGGGGGGAGGGAAGGGGGGTTGTGCAGTATAAAGGGCGGTGTTCTGGGGGTTTGGAAGGAGTGTAGAATAGGGGTGGGTGTTGAATGAATCTTGATGCGTGCGGAAATGATCTGGGGGCTCTTTAGGGGTATTGGAATGATGCTATAGTGGATGTCAAGCGCATGAGGCTCTGAATTGACTGTGCCTTGAACTAATTTGATTGCGCAGTGGAGGCCGGTGTCAGGGGCTCCCCATCGAAAATCTCGAGGCGTGCAGCAGATGATAACCCCGTCAGGTTCTAGATCAGGTAGACATCGATTACCGCGAGTATTATGGAAGGCGCCGCCGCTGTGAGGGGTTCTCCAGGTATAGTCCATAGAGATAGAAAAGACGTGAAGGTTCCTCGAGTTCAAATTGAACAGATGCGGAGTTCGTCTGGGCCTAAGCAGGTAACACCGTCAGGGGCTCTCCCTGAACGACTTCCTAAAGTAGAGAAATGTCCAGACCCCGCGGCCGTGAATCATGCTAGCATCAAAGCCAGCGGGTATTCTACCGAGTACCGCCATCAAGGACGCTCCACAATGGTTGTCCAGGGACACAATCTTGTCAGAGTAGTCCGGCAGCAGACCAGCTTGGTCTCAATACAATCTAATTATATAGCAGATGGCACCGTCAGGGGTGTTACTCATGCAGCTCTGAGACATGCAGCATACTTGAACACTCCGTGATTGTGAATTGATTGTGAATGGCATTCACACGATGCCGTTATGATAGGCGCCGTTAGGGGTGCTCTGGGAGGATCTCAGCATTGCACATGATGTCAATCAGTTGTAACTGTATATCGGATTGGTGTAGATAACGTCAAACTCAGTGGTAGATAGCGCCATCAGGAGGCCTGCCCCTGTAGAATGCATGAGCACAAGCAATGTCAATGTTGCGTATCTTCAAACTGACTAGGTCTCGGAACCGTCCACTGATAGTGAAGTTGACGCCGTCAGGGGTTCTTCATGAACAAGATTCAGAAAGACACACGGTTTTAAGTTTCCTCGACAGCATGTTGGCTACATGTAGCTCTACTTTAGCCCACCGAGTTGAACCAGGACCTGTAGGAAACAGGACGGTATTAAGGCGTGGATTCCAGTTTCCGAGCTGGTTGCCAGTTTCCGAGCTGGTTGCAGCTGGATGAGAAGGGCTGGTCGAGATCTCCTAGGCTATTGAGCTGTACAAATTGCTCAATGTTCTAAGCCAGGAATCGAAATTTGAAACTGTGGCGATGCAAGATCTAGGAGCCTGTTGAAACATCAGAAGCGCCTCCGTGCATGCTTTATAGATATCAACTTCGCAAGAGATCACTCTCAATCTAAAGTCAAAGAAGTTTGCTAATGCGGTGGCGTTGAACGTTCTATTCGGGTAGATCCATAGCTTCGGAATTCGGTGCCGAGGGAATTGCGTCTGTATTCTTCATGATGGTGTTTTGGGGGCAACAGACTCGATTCGAGAAGCGCAAGCGAGCATACATGCATCCTCACTATGAGAGCTGAAGGTTCTGAATATCCCAGGAGCATTGTTATCCCTCCGGGTCATCTCTGACAGGCCCAAAGCTGCAAGATATTATGATGCTTTTGATAATGCCACAATGACGTTTAGAAGGCATCGGACTAGTTGTCAGGAACCCAGGACGACTAGAAATCAAGGCCAACTCATGCTCTGGTGGCGATGGCGGACGGGGAAAGCAGTAGATTCCGCCCCTATTCCTCAAGCAGCTCCGTGACTCCAAATTTTAGAGTGGTGAGCTATGACTACTGCGCACCCAGGCAGTATGCCAGAGGCTCTCCCACAGCGACATGAGGGAAGGCGCAGGCACAAGGTAGCTATGTGAGGCGATGGGACGACTCCACGGTGGGAACTTTTGAGGTTTTGCGCCGCGCCCATCGTCACCTCTTTCCAGCCTCACAAAATCAGCTCTTGCCAAAGCTGCGACCAAGGCGTGTCTGCTATTGGGGTGCGGCCGCGCTCTATACAGTCCTCTGCTGCTGTCTGAGTCTCTCTGGGGTTCGATAAAAGGCAGGAGGTGATGCCAAAGCCGCGAGAGCAAGGAAGAGGCCCGCGACTCGTCACTCAAGACCGACATACGTAAGCCTCCAGAGCCTGCGATCTTCATGATAGAAGCTACGCGCTTCACGGTGGTCGGCCGCCGTCTGAGCTCCTTCAGCGATTTATTAAATCCTGGAGATCATATCGAAGCCGCGAGCTTGTAGCTCGGACGCGCAATAAGAAGCCTAAGCTCAGACTTGGGGTATGTAGTATGGTCGACAGTGAGGATTAGATGAGCATCTAGGTCCTCATCCACGAGATGCCAGGGCAAGTCCAACAGCATCGCATCATGGCGTGCGTTGCAAGATGGCGGCCATTTTCCTCAACGGCCGGCGGAGGAGGCCCACGTCCAAACACCCACCATCAGGTTCCGACGCGGACAAACCCCAACAACCCACCATGTTTGCTCAAATACCACCTCTCGACAATACAATGTGTTCGTCTTTGCGGAAACATGAGGATCGTCAGATTTCTCGGATAGCGATAAATACTCTCGGTCGCATATCGAGAGCGGAGCGGCCGTCCACACAGGCATCCCGATCAATATCACCCCGCCAGCATCGCAGCTTCAGCAGCCACCGCAAAGACTGACCTGCGGACGACTTCGAAGAACAACACCTTGACGTTTCCCTTCCGACTGGACACGCGGGCTGGCGGCGCGCTCTTCACTCAGTGCACCGTGGCTCCAGGAGCCGCAATGGACGGGCGGGCTGTACGCTGAAACGCCTCCCGAGACGCCTCCAGCGGATAACCATAACCATCTTTCGTCTCTGCGAGAAGGACACAATCGACCACCGACTGCATGACGACAAGCCTCTTCGTCGACTATCGGAAGCGGCCAGCTCCTCCATGGACAGGGCTACGCGCATCACCTGACCATCGTCCGACAGCATGAGGTCTTCAGCAGCCATCCGAAGCTCTGGGCTTGTGGACGGCATCGAAGATAACTTGCCTGGAATGGCACCGATAGGAAGTCGCTTGTATCTTTCCCCGACTGCATATCCGCAAAGGGCACCGACAGTCGTCATGTCGGACTATATCTGAAGCTCTAAAGCAGTGCAGCGGATTGAGAGCCTTGGGCAATCGCGTCCCCTTGGCACAACCAGGAGAGTCCCTCCAATATGCAGCGTCCAACCCTTTACATCCTGCTCTGCAGCTCCTCAGTCCGTCTAGGAGGGTTGTACGAGTACTCCCGACGTAGCAGCGCGCTCAGAGACGAGCTCCAAAGTACGGGTCGAGGCGAATCAATACTATGCGCTTGACTCTCCGACAAGGCTTCCTTCTCTTTGAGGGTCTCCGGCTGTGGGGCGGATGTCGGCATTTGATCGCACAGTTTGAGCAGCTCTGTAGAGTGTTCGATATCCAAAGCGAAAGTGGCAGAACGCAGGCCTCCTCAGAGAACAAAGTGCCATCTTTGCAATTCGTATGGAACCGCACGAGAAGAACAACGACTCCTGCGCACTGCATCGACGACGAACGCGAGGGCATATATGAATACCAGTCATTCGCCAGGCGCCGTGCCGAACACCTTCCAGATCCTGCACGAGTAGGCCACCTCCGCCGCCTATAGCAGCAACCCTCGACGAACATCCCGAGCTAAGCGCCGCCTTTGAACAAACAACATCGAAGACGGGGACAATGAGGGCGCACCAAAAAGCGACACTTAGGCTCAGGCAGATCTACGACCTGATGGCAGGCCTCCGCGCGCTCTAGCACAATCGGGATGGGAAGCACATGGCTCCCAACGACGGTGGTCCAAATAGATATTTTCTGAGAAAAGCGACGCCAGAATCTCCTCGCGAGAACAACGCGACGCACCCCGCCTGATCGCGATTGGAACACCATGTAAGTTCTGCCCAGAAGTTCTTTTTGCAAGCTGCCACTCTTTCAATGATGAAAAAAAACCCTCTGGTAGAACTGAGACCTGCGCGTCATTGACGTGTCTGTCGTGTTGTTAAGGCTTTAGACGCAGTCTCTGAAGCCTTCGACCGTCGTTGGTGATACCAAGCAAGAAGACCATATTTTGGTTTCTGATTCTTTAAACTCTTCTTTTGGTCTTTCTTTAGCCTTTTGGAAGAACAGTGACTAATGTACGCTATTGTCTCCAGGTCTCGAAGGCGGAATCGTACTCTGCGCGGCGCAAGTTCCAGAAACTCCCGACTTCTTTACGATGATCTTGTACTCCGAGATCTCCGGATCGTTGACGACAACAACCAAAACTCTCTTTCCAATTTGAACCTTCGAGGTCCTCCTTTTTGGATACACCGTTCAATATTATTGGATATATTTCAACTAATACCTGGAACCGCTTTCTGGACCTCTGAATTTTGGACACACAATTAAGGAACATTCCCGAGGCTTTTGGAACAGCTTCGGCTGACGTGTCAACAGGTAGACCGGCATGCTGTACAGGTATATGCAGAACAAAGTAGGCTGTCTCTTGATGGACTAGCTATCTGCTAGCTGGGCTACTCTTGACGGTGTTGTCGAGCGAGCAAGAGCAAAGCCCGAGCAGTAGTATGCCCGTGTGTCCAGACCTAATGATCCAGTACTGTGTGAGCCTATCTCGCCGGCGGGAAAATGCCTGCATCTCTACAGCCATCCACATCGAACGATTCTTGCGCGCCTCGCTAAGTCTTGCCAGTTCCCACTATCCGCGCATTCTTACGGAGAACAATCCTACCGCGGCTACTGAGACCCATCGTGGCTCCTGATGCATATCCGATGACACCGGGCTGTTCGAACATCTTGGAAAACTTCTCCAAAAAAAAATTTGGGCTGAAAAGGCCCTTGTACACTCAAGCATGACCCCGGAAAACTGCTCTCGCGGCCTTGCTTAGACTCGAGACATGGTAAGTCCATACATGCATATCCTTTTTCCACTCTAGTATGACGAAAAACAAAGGCGTGAGACTTGAAAGATCCTCATCAACGGAATTTTCATGGGGACAAAAACCACGAGTTCGATCACTCTACTCTGAGCTTTGGAATCTCTTTTTGGAAAGTCGTTAAGAAGCGGAACACAGTGCATTCGCTGACATTTGGTGTCGCCTCCTAGCCACAAACGGTAACACAAGTGATTCCTCGGGGTTCCCTTTCGGATATCCGTTTGGGATCTTGGACCATATCCAAGACCTAGGATCGATACACCGCGTCGCCACAAGTCTGTGCACGTTCGCCTGCCACTTAGGATTCCTCCATAGACTTCCAAAACTCTAGTGCCTATGTACGCATTTGATGCCGTGCGAATTAGGCCGCTTCTTGGCTTGCTAGGCACGGCGCAGCTAGGCTACTTACTCCTATCGTGGCGTGGAACGAGCCAAAGTCGAACTGAAGCACTGCTACATTCGTGTGGGTAGGCTCGTTGTCCTAGTACTTATCGAGATGATGGGTAGGTCAAGCCCATGCCGACGTAAGTGGCTCCCATTCTTCCCATCCTTTTGATTTCCTTCGTGATGATTTCCACGATGGATTGTTTCCTTGGATGATTCCTGGATCTCACCAACATGGTTAAGGTCTACCGAGACCAAGGGGGTCGCTGACATTAACCACTGTCTTCGTTATCGCAAAAACCCAACGTGGTTTATATCTGATTTTCGAAAGTTCCTTTTGGCAGAGACCATTGCAGTTGAAAACAAGGATCAAGTGCTGGCGTTTCATCATCTTCTAGTAAACTCAGATCTTGGTGGTCCAGTTACGCGTCCCATCTAAACATCAGGGAGCCCAGCCCAGCATAAGGACCACTTCAGGACTTGCTCCGGTATTCTGGAGCTCAATTTTCCCAGCATTTCCAGACATTAGCCAGGCTCATTGGACCGTGGTAGGCATCCTGCGCGGTTGCGCATCACTGATTTGCCTCCACTCCGAGGACTGACAGATCCTCAGAAAGGACTAACACCACACAACGACTCACTACATTAATGACGACACAGTAAAAGACTTGAGTTCCGACGACGGAAATCTCGAATGAATAGACGAGACGTGGGTTTCGTCAGGTAGCGGCTTTGAGTATGAAAGAGGTCTGCATTGAGAAGAGATGGACGACGAAAGAAGTTAATTGTGAAACGACTCGGAGAAATTCGAAGTGTAGGCAGACACGCGGCGAGAATGGATTCCAGCCTTGACTCGAGGTAAGATATAGGAAAGGGATTTGATGAAGAGATGAAAGTCTGGGTCCACTACCGCGCGATAAAGAGATGGTATAGCCGAAGGGATGATAAAGCTACCATCGGAAAGAAAAAGAGACGGAGAGTAGGATTCTTAAGAAAATGCGTCGACCGACGGCAAGATTGGAGAACTGGTACTTTGTGCAGTAGAATACTACAGCATGGCCCAAGAAAGGAGCCTAGTGGAAAGGAGGAAGACTTGTAACGTTCATTGACTAACATGTAACGACAGTTAGGACGAAAGATCCATGGTCCGAACACTGGAAAGAATCATCATGACAGAAAAGAAACCGACCCACCGAGGCGGAGAAAGAAAGACCTGAAGTGGAGATGCGAAGTTTGAAACGAGTGGACCGAGATGATGAGGAAAGACATTGACAGACGAAGGAAATTTGGAAAGCGGTGGGCTCGAGTACGTGACAGGTCGAAAAGCTGGATGAGACAACTCACGAAAAAACGCAACTTAATTTACCGGCCGAATGATTCTCAATGGCCGAAAGGCAGGATGGCCTACGCATCCTACAGGTTGTGGCCTTTAGCAGGGTGCTTGACCAATTTGCTCGGGATGGCATTGACGGGCGGTAGCCACGGCCTGAGACCGGGGAACACGGTAATCCGCCTCCTTGCGGGTCGGACCGGGCGGTCCCCAAGCCGGAGGACCATTACCATATCCCAAAGATATCCAGTTCATGTGCTCTAGGCTCGTTCCTACCCAGACCCAGACGACTTGCAAGATCGCGATGAAATGCCACCACCCCGAGAAGATGACTCATGGAGTCCGAGCCCTCGCAACCGTATCAAGGCTATTCGATCTTACTTCAAGGGTGATTTTATGCTACGCAAGGACCATCTACTACTTAGCGGCCGCGAATTGCTGGTCTTGGGGTTGAGGCTGGAGTGCCAGTGGCAGCTCGGGCAGAGTTCCTTCGACCGGTTCCGTCGACAAGCTTGAGTTATGGGCCATCGAGGACTTATTGGAGGCTTATGAGGCTAGCCGAGGGAGAGTGTAGTCGATGCATGCAAGGATGGAGGATGGCGGTGGGGCGTCGGGGGTGTCTGAATGAGGCCGGCGGCCGCCAGCCTTCTCAATCAAGGACGAGCTCCGTCTTCGCCTGCTGGCCATCCGAGAGTGCGCAGCGGTCGATTTGGGTCTCGTCGAAGCTCTGAGGAGGCTAGTGTTGCTGTCTTGGTGTGTCGTCTTCCGCGGCAGAAGGGGGATGTCTGGAGCAAGTCTTGACCGCCCTCTGTCCGCACGGGGGCTGCGAAGCATCCAAGAGCTCCCAAAGAGGTTGTCGAGTATGAGGAGGAGGAGGAGGAGGAGGGGAAGAAGAGGAGTGTCGACTAGAAGAGGATGGGTGGCTAGGAGGTGTTGATGTCGAAGGAAGGTGGAGGTCGAAAGAAAGTTGCGATTGCGCCAAGGAGGAGCTGGGGCCGCTCTTCCCCCATGTCAACAACATCAACACCATGTTCCCGAACATGACACGCTGTCACGGATGTTTGGCCAGCTACGACGACAGCGCGGCAATAGAGTGAATACGAAGGTCCCACACCCGTCTGCTACCCGGTCAGCCGTGTATTTGAGTCTAAAGAGAGCTCGACTGGCTGCTCTCGCCTCCGCCTCAGCCCCCCGCCCTCAGCGTCAGATCAGATCCTCACTTGCACGAATGTCTCACACACTTAAGTATTCGGGCTGCATCTCAGTAATCCGACGATCTAGAAGCGCGACTACTTTCTCCTAGCTATTCCATATACATGATGGTTTCACTAGCTACTATCCCATCCATAAACACCGCATACCTCCGAAATGGCCGCTTCCGTCGCGCCTGCTACACCCTCTACCTATCTACCTGCACAACCCCATGCCGATAGGCCTCCCCACTGACCTCCTTATGCTCTACAAGCTGCCTCCTCACAACATAAGGCGGGGTGAAAATCCAAGGAGAAACCCCGCATCCAGCTCGCCCTTGGCAATTGAAAGATCTAGGATGATCGATTTGCTAATGACAAATAGCTGGAAATCAAGAAACGGCTTATTCAGACATACATGTACGGCGTTTTTCCCAACTAATTCGTCGAGGGAAGCACTAGCCTCGATCGATGTTAGCGGCCAACGGAGGGCTAACAAATCGACGTTTCTCAAGCACATTTGTAGGGATCTTATCTAGTCCGAGTACGAGTGAATTCCGGCTTTGAGCAATTACGGCATTGAGCCTGACAGTCAGTCCGCTAATTAATTGGCTCAAAGCACTGCTTCATCGGCTTCTTGTTCTCCGGGTGGCCTTTTTTATGAACACATTGATATCTGTCCGATCAGCAGCACTAATCGTGGTGATAAGCACGCAGGTCATTCCGGCGAACATTATTCCGAGGTCGTCTCTCGCTTTATGTATTCCATAGTTCGTCACCTTCTGGTATGTGGGTATACATTGTTAGTGCGTTAGGAAGCCGAAAGAACCATCAGGAAGTCTAGGTACCTCTCCGCCGCTTGCTGAGATGCCCTCCCGAGCTAATAAATTTTCAATTGGACGAGATTGCATCTTCTTCGAAGTTCCTGATAATATTGCGAGGCATTGTATCGTAGAGAAGCGTAGGCAAATATACGAACGGGCCACCAGCGAGCGAATGTGAAAGCAAGAGTATAGGCTGAGATGTGTCCCTAGCTCTGTTCGCGTAAAACATACAATTGCAATGAATTTTGAGGTGATCCTCGATCTCCGTTCCAGCCACAAGTTTCGACTGGCGCTCGCATTACCTCCCATGAGACGGTTTGTAGCTGCGCTGTCCATTATGATTACTTTCTGGCGTCATGATAGCGCTGCGCAGGATGGTTGATTTGAATAATCGATTTGAAATGGGGTGGGATTCTTTTGATGGTAAATGGATACGATTTCAGGTGTGAATATTAGCTTCAAGTACGTAGTTTTCAATACAGCGCCCCAGCATGAATGTGTGGATACCTTTATGTCACCGCTAAAGGTGCCGCGTGGGATTTCCCCCAAAAGATCGAATTCGAAGTAAAGCTTGACGCAGCCTTATGAGGGCTAGGTTCTGACGACTCGTATTCAGCAGGCTATTTGGATCAGCAATTTCTCATAGGTGTCCACATACAAGTAGGACACATAAATAAGTCTGCACATCCAAAGGCAGCGAGCGCTAAGTCCTCCCCGAACGATTTCACCCAATCGCATCACGTGACTAAACTCCGTCAAAAGACCAGCATGACCATCACGCCGGCCGTATGTCGCCATTGAATCTCTATTCACCTGAATACTAAGACGATAAGTTAAATGAGTCCACGTAAAGCGCTTCTGGCGGCATACAAACTACTCCACCCTCAAGCTCTTCCAGCGTGGTTAGTAAACCGGCCAATCCTCAATCGGATTGACGGCCGGTTTATTAGTATAGACTCTAGATAATCCAATCAATCAATCCTCTAGCCAATCAAACCTCAAGCGGAGATTGATCCGATTGACCCGATTGGTGTATATAAATCGGAGAGGATATATACGAATCGGAAAGGATGTATACAAATCGGAAAGGATGCATACGGACGTGATTTTTATAGATTTTTATGGGTATAACTTCGTTATATAAGCTCACTACGCCTATAGATGAGACTACGGAATGCCCCAGAGTAGAGGGCAACGTGAGAGTACCATGGTGGTCAGGTTCTAGGTGAGGGGGGGCTCAGGATGTCCCTTGGGAACGTCGCGCGGAGTACCAAAGGGGAGCGCATTTTTGAGGCCTAGAAGATCTAATGATTTGCTTCAAACGTAATTCGACCCGTAGAAATCGACTCCCGTTGTCCGTTTAAGCTCATCTCGTCATGGTGGAGTGCTAGAGGGGGGCTAGGGCCGTGGTTGATGAGGCTAGCAATACGTGTTCTCCCGCCTCCGCCGGCGGAACCTCGGGGCGGCGGAACTCCGTGATTCTATTGGCTTGTTAAGACACGGTGAGGGCCTTAGCGCACAGATCTCTTAGCGCGATTGTTATTCACTTTGCCAATCCGGATTAAACCGTTCAAACCAAAATTCTAATCAATCCAATCAATCAAGCTTCATTCTATATATAACAACCCAATCAATCTGCTCTCTAGTTGAGCCGGCCGCCGGTTTAGTAACCACGCTGAGCTCTTCCACACCATCCCACCTTCACAACACCCATCTGGCTCCCAAAATGGCACCCAGCCCATACGACATCCTTGGAATCTCTCCTAATGCAGATGCTGCCGCCATACGCGGAGCCTACCACCGCATGGCTCTGAAATACCACCCGGACAAGATCCAAGATCCCACCAAACAAGCTGCCGGGGCCGAGAAGTTCAAAGACGTCCAAGCTGCGTATGGGATTCTAAAGGATTCTACCAAGCGTGCTACCTTTGATCGCGAATACACACGCAAACACCAACATCGGCACTCTCAGCGATCCAACACCCAGGCAAACAACAAAGCCAAACCGTCGCAAGGCCCTAACGCCTCCGGAGAAGACCCGATGATGTACCTCGCCCATCACCTCACCGCTATCTCCGCGCTGCGAACTGCGGACAGTCTCGTAGCAGATGCGTTTCTGAACTACGCCATCGCCAAAGCAACCCTCGAACGCGCTGTAGCTGCCAATCCACCGCATTACGGTCACCCCAATGAATACAAGCACCTGTTCGATGTAATGCCAGTTTCCGATTACTATGAGGCGACGCATACCACTGCTTCAGCGTGGCTTCCGGCCATCAGCTCGGGACGCCGTGCTATCGACCAAGCGATTACTACCTTGAACCAACGAAAGCAGGCGGTGATGGCATTCGAGCTGGCTTTGAAGAGTTTCGACTGGTGCGCGGCCCATACTCAAGGAGCGGAGAAGACGGAGATGATGGCGCAGAAAATGAGTTGCGCGAAGAAGTTACAGGAGGCGAGAACGAGCGCTGGGGAGGTCAAACATCGGCGGAAGCTGTGGGAGGATAGGGTAAGGGGTTGGGAGATGGTGAGGAACGAGTGGTTGTATGAGCGGGCGAAGTTCACGCCATCGAAGCCTCAGTAGTGACACGACGGGGAGATCATCTGCTGCGTTCGATCAAAACTAGGCTAGATGGACTTTAAGATCGATGCATCGTACATCGGCGGAGTAAGCCAATGATATTGCGAAGGCCGAAAGGCCCTTTATACACAGCCTTGGCTCTACAGAAGCGTCAAATTGCTTCAAGAGCGAGGTGACTGATTGATCTCTTTAGTTTACCAATGCATTCAATAATCGGTATGAGCTATCCTATTTTCCTCATGTATCACGTCATGGTTCAAGCATATCTTGTGATCCAACGATCATCGAAAAGTGAGTGTTCTTTCGATTCAAGATTCTTAGTTAAACCATAAATATCCTTGCCGTAATTGTATTCGTTCCAAGGGTGGTCGGATTATCGATGATTCCCACGATTCGCCAAGAGTTCAACGAACTTGGTACGCTGATTGCGAACCACATTTCAGAAACGCACTTTTCTTAATTTTGGAATTTTGACAACGCTCTTCAAATCTTTAGCTACACGTTCACGAACACATCAACCCGACCCGCGCAGTGTCGCATTCGTAGATGCTCACTCACAGACTCCATAAAACCCCGGTCGGATCCTTTCAACGTCCCCAGAGACATCCGTATCGAGCCACCACTTAGCACTTCTTCTTTCCTTTCGTTGGACACGTACTGAACCGCCGAATCGCCCATTCCTCGCTCTCATAGAAAAACGACACCCCCAAAAGCACCATTTCGAGCCACTATACCGTCCTCGGAGTTCATCCCACCGCTAGCCATCAGGAGATCCGAGCTGCTTACGATCGCCTTGCTTTGAAGCATCATCCAGACAAGATTCAGGACCCCATGGAGCGCGCTAAGGGCGAGGAGAAATGTAAGGAGATCCAAGCGGCTTTCGAAATCCTCGGCGATCGCGAAAAAAGGGCCCATCACGACCGGATATATCCTCATCGAGCTCGAAACAACTGCGAGGACGCAGAGAACCAGCAAGAGCAGGAGGAGTGGGAAGCCTTTGAGAATGTCCTGGACTGGAGAGCACATTTCTTTGAGGTTCAACAGGAGCGCGAAAGGGCGAAGAGACGGAAGGAGCGGAAAGAGCAGGAGGAATTTGAGGATTTCATGCGCCGAAGAGCACGTTCCCATCCGCCTCAGGCTCAGAGGCTCGACGCCGAAACGCAACATGCCTGGGCCATGGTGTGCCGGAATCTCTCCTCCGATCACACCCCTTTCGCAAGCATTTGACCCCGAGGCTGTATGCATTGAATCCTGCCATATATGGACAGAACGTCCTCTGTTCGGCGCAGGGTATGTTCAACTGCGTCGAGGAAAAGTGTCGCATGCTTCCCGTCACCCTGCCCTACGCATATTTCGGACATCCGCTGTCAGAAGTATGTAATGTCGCTTATTTTCACGTCCCCCTAATTTTAGGCGGGACGTGCTTTTTCATCTAACATCCGCGCCTCCTTCGCTCGGAATGGAGATTGAGAAGTAAGTCCGATACTTCTAGTTTAAGGAAGGAGATCGCATTCAAGTACAGCACTAGTATTGACATGGCGAGCGAAGCACTTAAGATGTTCCAATTAGTGGTGGGTGAGGGGAGGAAGGCTGAGTATTGGCTTTATGGAGCGGCGATGGACGGAGGCGGAGGAGAACGTAAGGGAGCGGAAGGGAAAATTAAAGATTTTGGACATGTTCATTGAGTATTGGCAGTTTGAGCACTGTACTTTTAGTGCTAAGCAGGAGGTGTTGCGTCAAATCGGTTCAATACCTAGAGGATGGTTCGGGGAATCTACAGAAGAGTGATTTGTGTTCACTGCCTTGGTGAGTGATCACACGAGCATCAAGCCAGGCCGACATCCACGGCATACGTTATTCCAATTTGCAAGATACGGTCAGAGCGCTCTTCCGAATTTGTGTTTTTAGTTCTTTACTACAAGCGGGGGTGGCCGGCTTCAAGGCTGTCATCTCGTTGATGTCCTATTTTTTCAATCTGTCATATAAAGCAATCGCCTACAAGACTTGCCAGCTTGTGTCTACGTTATCAATCTAGTGTAAGCATGCTGCATACTTCCCAACGCTGATATTCTACCCGGGTCGTTAAAGTATCTTGCCCTGACTAATACCAACCTTGGAATACTGTACCGTCCTATACAAGTTGAAGCCTCTATCTAGCAAGCTCTTCGTACCAGACAGCGGAGAGACCACGCCACTTCTCATGATTGTGTCCTAGCTTAGTTTCCATCTCTCTAGTCTTAGCTATTAGGTCTCGCACCTGCCACACCTTCTCTCTGCAGATCGCTTCATTCGTGCGGAACCCACCTTTATCATGTCGGCGATCTAATGTACTTGAGGTAGCCGAAAGTTTGTGGAACGCTTCTGCAGCTTTCTGCAATGATACAACGCACTCTTCTCTAGCTTTGGCGGCAAGACGGTAGTGCTCTGATGCTGCCGTCGCCTGGATCGCTGCTTTGCCATACGCATCCGCCGTTATCTTGACTTTCTCGCGGCGCCAGTCCACTCCAGCCCCATACTTCGGCATTCCGTCCAAATATTCGCTATCCATGGTGGGATGGCCCGTTAAGTGCACCCCGCGCAATTCTTCCTCGGCTTCCGTACGGGCTTTGCGACCTTGGCGGGCTAACTTCTCAGCACGTTCGAACGCTTCAGAAGCAGCGTCGCGGAGTGCGGAAGCGTGGCGGACTTCAGACTCTAGAGGCATACCTGAATTGCTAGGCTTAGGAACCTGGTTGGAAGTACCGGCAGTTGGGGGAACGCTGCTTGACGTAGAAGAGCTGGAATTGGAAGACGCCTCCGCACAACCTGGATACTTTGGAGACGCAAACTTGAAGCTGAAGTCGAACTTGACGTTGGCCCACTGCTTCTGAAAGGCTGGAGTAAATCGCGAAGAGGCATTGCTTGCAGTCTTTTGTCTAGGTGGGCCATGTGGTTGGGAACCGGAAGAAGCGAATTTTGGAAAGCGAGGGTCTGGGGTAGTTGGTCTAGGAACTTTGACTGGACCACGCCTAGTTTGAAATTCGGAGGAAGCGCGCTTAGAAGATGCATTTGCTGAATTGGCTGGTGTAGGGGGTGCTGGGACACGGTTGAGCTCAGCGCGTTTGGCGTCGTCCTTCAGGACATCGTAAGCAGCCTGTACCTGCCGGAACTTTTCCACGCCCTCCGCACGTTTAGCGGGATCTTGAATCTTGTCTGGGTGATTAAGTAGAGCCAGACGCTTATAGGCCTTTCGAATGACGTTCTGGTCGGCATTGGGAGGGATGCCTAGGGTGGCGTAGGGGTTGAAAACGTAGAAGGGCATGGTGGTGTGGGTATTGGTGTTGCACTTCCGACGCGTCGAGGTGATCAGAGAAGGGGGATCGCGCCGAGGGTGTCTATTTACCTTGCATGTGCCAAGGCGAAAGTAGGCATATCTACCTCATCATGTGACTTGACATCTTACGCATTGTGTAGAGATGGTGAATGCCACATGGTTGGGATGCATTCTGGATAACTTTCAATTTGACCTGATGTAATATGTGATCTCACAATGCATTAAATGGCCGTGCCGCAGACTTCTCGAATCTTTGTCGCTGCGAGTGCGGGAGGTGGCTTCTTTCCATCCGATGTCTTACCCGGGCCCACGTTGCACGTGATATTTGCGCTAGCGTGGCGCTAGCGTAACCGAATGCTGATGACACGAAATGGCCTCGGCGCCAAGCCTTTCAATCTGACATCGTAAACTGTGTTTTTTCACCCCCTCAAGACACTTCAGACGGTAATAACTACCTGCCAGCCCTTCGTGAATTAGTCCTATGAGATATGAATCCTTACGCTTTTAACATCCTTTGCTGCATTTTTCACCCTCATGAGTCACTTCAGACGGTACTACACATTTGTCGAAAGCTTAGAAATTAAATGGCGTAAAATCTGAGTCCTCACGTTTCTAACATGGGGTTGGGCATTTTTTGGCCCTTCCAAGCCATTCTAGACGATACTGACGGCCTGCCAATCCCTCGTAAATCGTTCCTGTACAATTGAAGCCCTAAGCCTGCCAACACCATCACTTCGCGATTGTGGTCCCAAAATCGGAGATGCGAGTTCGCCTCTTTGATTTGTTCCAAAATATCAAGCCCCTCTTTCATTCCCATTAAAAACGGTTCCTACGTGATCGCCTTTCCTAAATTCTTCAAATTGGTGTCGTGACGTTGAGATCCTGGAGCGACAGCCGCAGTGCTAGAGCAATCTGCACGTAGTATGCCGAGTTTTGGACAAGATACTCTCGCTGTGACTTCGTGATTCGAAAGGCCGGGAACGTAGAATTGGTGGGCTAGGCAGGACTCTGAAGCAAGATTCGTTCATCCTCCCTGAACCTAGATAGCGGCAATGTCGTGCTCTAATTTGTCGCCGTCTACGTATCGAAACAACTCCGGGTAATTCTTTGCGTGGCGCTGAAGCAGTTCTTAGGTAGTAAAGCCATCTCCGTCGGCAGGAGGACGCAGTCAGATTATGATTGCATCTACTCCGATTCTCCGACTGACAACGCTGAGACCGCGATTTCGTATCCATGATCATAGTAGTGTATTTGGTAGAGCCATTTTGGATGAAGTTCCGTGTAGTCGTGAACATGTCTTTGCCGCTCAACCAAGCCGGCTTTGACGGTGGCGGCTAACTCTCAAAGCAGTATGATACTAGTTCAGCTTCAGGGCATGATGCCTTGATCTTGACAACTTCGCCTTCGAATCGTGTAATCGTGTAATCGTGTGAACACAGCCTATATCAGGCTGTCTTATACGAAACCGCGACCAGTTCCTCACACTCTCAACCCAGCTGCGACGGTGACAACCAGGAGCCAGAACAAGACCATACTTCGTCTGATTCGCACTCCCATAACTGATACCCTTAGATATGGCGCCTCTCGGGAGAACATATCACTGCTAGGGTGCCCTTTTTGCTTCATGGATGAACGGGGTGAGACGACCGTCCACGTGCGCGGCTTTCACAGGCCCCTCACCCGAATGGTCTCTTAGCTCCACATCCTCCACGCCCTCTCAGCCTCCTCCACCCTCCTTCCAGCAACACCTTCCACCACCAGCACAGTAAGTTAAACACCAACCTCTTCTTTCTCATCAAGCTTCTCGTTCTTGTGAGGCTAACTCTTCCTCGCAGGCAAGCTCTTCATCGCCCAGCAGACTCTTCCGCGCCCAGAAGGCCTCTTCCTCACCAAACAAACACCACAACACCGGCCTCTCACCACCACCATCACCATCACCGACAATGCCTCCCAAGAAGCAGCAGCAGAAAGGCAAGGGGAAGAAGGAGGTCGCCGTGGCCCCGGTCGTCGTCGACCCGGCCAAGTTCCACCCGCTTCTGGTTGACATCGTCTCCCGCATCGTGGAGATCGACCAGCTCGGTGCCTCCTGCGTCCCAATGGATGCAGACAAGAACCACTATGAGTTCTTCTCCCCAGCCGACCGCAACAAGGCCCGCGACGCCGGCTTCCCCACCGCCCGCCTCGCCATCACGCAGACGCTCTACCCGCACACCAAGCCGAGCGACGAGACCGCCGAGCCCCCCAAGCAGCCGCCGCCAGACGTCCGCGTCATCTACATCCCCGAGCGCCGCCGCGAGGCCTACAAGGACCTCGACAAGAGCACCCTGTCCCCGCGCCAGATCGGCACCATCGGCATCGCTCTGCGTGCCTCCCCTTTCGTCCAGTTCCCAGCCGTCCTGTTCGCCGACGCGGTCTGCATGGGCCACGAGGTCGTCCGCACCATGTTCGAACCCTTCGCCCGACTGGTCCTCACCTCCGTCCCGCATGTGCACATCGACGCCATGCTGCTATACATGATGCTCTTCATGTCGCCCGCGGAGATCGGCTCCGGAGCGGAGAAACAGGGGTACGGGTTGGAGAACGAGGTGTGGGAGGGTAGGCGGGAAGATGCGCTCAAGTCGCTCCGCGACACCTTCCACGATACGGGAAAGACTCCGGCTCAGTTACGCGCAGAGACCCGGAAAGACCTTGTGGACAAGGCCCAGACGATGAAGGCGTTACGGCGCTACATTGCGGCGGTGCTTGCTGCGCCGCATGAGGAGGTGGAGGACTCCGAAGAGGAGAAGGAGGAGTCAGCGGAGAAGAAGGAGGATGTTGAAATGAAGGACGTTGCCGAGTAGGTAGAGACAATAGCCCAAATCGCGCCGACTTCGCTTTCTCTTTGCCTGTTGGGGGGAACCGTGTGGGTGGCGTCGACGGGTGCTGTGTCCAAGCAAATAGATTGAAAAAGAGCTCTGATATGGAGCGTCTGGTGGTTTCCTTTGGTTTCTGAGTCCGATTCTGAGACGGTCTTCCGGGGATTTGGAGGATCGATGGGAATGCGGGGGGTCCCCAAGATATGTAGAATAGCGAGCAGTATGATCGAAATCGAGCCCTAATTCACAAGCGGCTCGTCCGAACATAGTAGTTTTATGGTGCATTGGGCTGTCGTTCTCAAGGCATATGTCGAACCTGGATACCGGAATCGATGTTTTGTGTGCATCCATCACGTGTTGAGGAGTTTCGATATATTACGAGCAGCTCCAAGCACGTGCTTAGTTGTAGGACTATTAGTGCCGATTTTGTCTTGGTGTTGGGTACTACGTGGGTATAAGCAATCATATTGAACAATTACAATGAATCCTGGGAATCGTCAGTCTAGAAAGTTCCGTTTAGGATGCACCCATAGATTACGACAGAGGCGGACAAAATGTGATGTTCCTCAACGTAAATATTGGGCCAGTGTTGAATCTTTTGTGCTCCGACCAGCATTTAGGCTAGCACTCCAAGATTGGTAGTATAGAGGGTTCATTCTTCGAAGCGCTTACCAGTGTTTGGGGTGTTCCATTGGGTTGCCACAGAAGCGAACAAGATATACTGATCTTGAGCCTCAGAATCAGACCTACGGTCAAATTCTTATCTTCAGGCTCTTATTCAGCATGAGAAGCCCGTGGATGTAGATATCGTCGACTTGGATCTTGTCTTTTGAAAGAGAGCTGCTAGCGTTTGGGGTGTTTCAACTGGCAGCCAGAGAAGCGAACAAGATGTAATGATCTGGAGCCTATAAACGGGACTGGTGCTCAAGCTCTTGTCTACAAGCTAGCATCCAGCATCGGGATCCCGTGGCTGTAGATATCTTTGACTTGCATCTTGTCTTTTGAAAGAGAGTTGCTAGTGTTTGGGGTGTTTCAATTGGTCGCCACAAAACCCAGCAAGAGGTATTGATATGAACCTGTAAACCGGACCTGTGCTCAATTTCTTGTCTTCTGGCTAATATCTAGCTTGAAAAGCCCGCGGCTGTAGCTATCGTCGGCCTGGACCTTTCCTTTTGAATGAGGGTTGCCAGCATTTGGGGTGCCCCAATGGATGACCCAGAAATTGGCCAAAATGTTGTCTACCTCGATATGTTGTCTCTGGTGGATGGATGTAGGATGGTGAGGCTCATTCGGGACCAGTATAGCGTCGTGGTGTATGTTCGTATGAGGATAGAAGGGACCCCGCATACAAAGCTTTAGTCTAATGGCCAGCTGTTAGCGTCGAAGTGTGGATGTCCAAGGTTGGTAACACACCTAACCCAACATTCGCAGCTCACTCCTTGAATCTTGACCAGCGAACTTCGACGCCACTTTTGCCTGGACATCGCGGTCTTCGACAGGACATAGCCCCACTTATCTAGCGTCCAGAGTTGTTTCCCTTGTCTGAGATATGGAGCCGTGGTCCTAGGTGTAAGTCTACCTGCCGCCAGCTCCTCCGGAGGAAGCTCGAAGCTCATCGTACCGCCCCAATCAGCAACCTTGCACACTGTCCTTGCCTAGGTATCGCAGAGCCCTGGCCGTGTGTATTTCGTATGGCTGGTTGCCAGAATTATCTCGCTTTTAATAAGGCTCGGGTTGTTGGTGTTGCGAGTAGACCTAGTAGTCTCAGTTAGCCACATTCTCAGTCATTCAATGAACGAACTAGAGTTTGCTCTGTCACTTTTTTCGGGGTTTCCTTGGCTGTAGGAGCAGTATGTAGGTTGTACTCGAAGCGTCCAGGGTTGTCCGGTCTTTGGCGAGCTAGAGGCAGAAAGACGGGTTTGAGGATAATCGGTGTCGATGTCGCGTCCTTTCGGAGGCGGCGATCAAAAGTAGGAGATGCAGAGGGATTCAAGGCTCTGTAAATATCAACACAGGTTAGTTTCGAGACGATGGGGCTCGCTGTGGCGGTAGATGTACTCACTGGGCATGTTTGCGACTTCGCGCCTTTCGGGCTCAACGGCTCCTCTTCGCAATATTCACAGCTTAGATGTATTCGTCCGCGGGTGCATCGTGCCTATCGAGCCCTGGTGGTCCGCGAGAGAGGGCCTTGGAGCCGTTGGAGATGTCGCGGCGGTGTCGTGCTAGCTGGTAGCAGTAAAGATGAAGCTCTAGTCGCATAACCGTACAGAAGGTGTCGGAGGATGCGGCGAGGACTGCGAGTACATAGAAGAGTGCTGCGATGTTCGGACATGTTAGCGCAAGTTTAGAGGCTTTAGCTAAGCCATGTTATTATCTCGCGAGGAAGTGTTGCATTGCTCATGCTAATGTAAAGCTTCACAATGCGCTTTGAGCCTAGGCCAAGGAGGAGACAGTCAACACTTCGTCGAGTTCCCAGCTATCATCGGCATGGACTTCGGATATTAAGTATATCAGATTAGCTGCGCAGACTGGAATCAGGGGTCAGGTGGGATGCGGTTCTTCTGAGCTGCTGTCGCGAGGATGTGGAGTTCTAGATTATCCCGGCGATCCAGGGTTTCAGCAGGCGCACTCAAAGCTTTACCCCGGTCCTCGATCTTCGGTGAAGTCTCACTCACTTGAGATCGAAGCTTTCTAGCAAAGCAACTAAAGTCAATGTCACGAAGGCTCACTCGGTATTAGCTCACGGCAAAGACATTTTGCACATGTTTGGTTGTTTGATGTTTGGATTTTTGTTTCTACTATTTGTTCATGCTATTGAGAGTAGCTGAGAATGTCTCAAGCTATCGCACAGCATCCTTAGATGCTAGAAGGGGGTGTTCATGCTAATGCGTCAAGCTGAATATCAGCCTATCGCAGAACGTGGTCCGGGGCTGAAACAATATGACTAAAAGAGAGACTGTCTTTCACGATCTGAGCGCATTCAGAAGTCAAATTAGTATTAGACTTTCTTGTCAGCAACAGCGGGTCTGGGCCGTTTTGTCGTCGCAGCAGCAGTGATGTCTTCAACGATGTTAGCGCCTGATTCCTTTGCTTCACATATTGCTGTAGCCCATGCTTCCACGTTGGCAAGCGCATCCTTCATATCCTTGTGCTGGAGCAGGAAGTTCTGCAACTCAGCTGGCGTAATCTTATCTTCTGGAATGCTCCCAGCAAAGAGACTAGCGGCCCGTCTCAGCTTAACATCTTCACCATCATTATCGATGAGAACGAGAGGTCCATCTTGGGACTTTCGCAGATCCTCCGCGGACTTGATGAACATGCGCATGAAGATGCTAGAAGCGACCTCCCTGTCGACATGGCCGAAATAAACCTGGCGATCGATACGACCGGGGCGTATCAACGCCTCATCGAGGTTTTCGGGGGCGTTACTTGTCATGATCAGGAGACGTCCTTCTGGCGACGAAGCTCCGTCAATGGCGTTAAGGGCTCCGCTCAAGGTGAGCGTTGGTTTGGCTCGAGGATCCACGTTTTTGTCTCTCATCTGCTGTCGTCGGATGCCCGCAGAGTCAATATCTTCCAGCAAAACGATACATCGTTTTGGAAGCAGCTCAAAGACGTCCAACAGGGTTTTGTCATCCATCGGAGTACCAAGGATCTGGATGACGTACAGATCTAGCTTGAAATTTGAAGCTAATCCCATGCAAAAAGAGGTTTTACCGGTTCCAGGTGGCCCCCAGAGAAGATAACCCCGACGATGTGGGATACCTCGTTTTGCATAGTATTGGGGGCTCTCAGCGGATAGATAGTCTGCGACCTCGGCTACGACAGACTGCTTGGTCTTTTCGTTGAGATCGACTGTGGCCAGTGATCGTGCTGGGCGAAGTACGATCTTGGTCCAGTCGTAACTAAGTTCGCACCTACGCACACACTTCTCCAAGAAGTGGACTTTGGTCGTCTTCGAGGCGGCTGGGCCGTTGAACTGCCAGCACTCGGCAAGAAATTGACGCAAGTGCTTCGGATTCCTGCTGAAGCATGAGATTGTCAATGTTTCTTCATGAAGTTGGATGTTTTGAGTGTTTCTCCTAGTCACCTCATTCTTGTACCTGAAGAGGCGACCTCGGTGCCAGAAATATTGGCAACCGCCTTTCACTGGGAGGAACCGCACTACACCACCGTCTTCCTCGTCGGCAGTCATGATTTTGGCCTTTTCGCCGCCAAAGTAAGAGACTTCCACGTTGGTATCTATGATTTCGGCCTTTGCGCTGGCATTGCCAGTCTTAGCGGAGAAGTGTTTGACGGACTTGGTGCTAACTATCGCGGATACCCAATTAGACACCTTCCCATGGAGTGCATCGTGATTGGTCACCGACACTGACGTGAAGAGATGTTTCTCCATTAGAGGTGTAGCCCACTGCCATATATGTTTACCCATATTGTAGATCCCTGCGGCGAACAGAGCTTTGATCACCCAAGGGGTGATATCCCGTTTGAAGCACCGCATGCCCAATGCCCGCATCGCTAGAAAGCCTGGTATCATCTGTTCTGCCAGGCCAACTGGATCAACCAAGTGAAGTGCTTGCTCCGCTGCTCCTAGAGAAATACGGCTCACCTTGTTTTCTGCGAGCTTAGCAGCAAGTAATGCGGTCGTTCCCAGCCCAAATTTGGGCAATACTCCAAGTTCTCCCGCCTGTATCATGGGTTGTAGCACGACGGGGGACTTAGCCTTGTTCAAGTTCGTCGCGCCTTGAACGTTGCTCTCATGAGTAGGGGTTTGAGGGTTCGAAGGAAGCATGCTGTCAGACGCTGCGAAAGACGTGTGTTGTGGGTGAGAGTTTGGCTCCAGAGTAGCAGAATTGAAGCTCAGTGTCTGGTTGCAGTGTAACAGGAGGTTGAAGCTGAATTTCTGAGTTGGTGTTCCTGGGTCTATGGTTTGCGTACCTTAGAGTTTGTGACGACTCCAGTTGGAGCGAACTGTGACTAAATACCTGTCTGTATTGGCTCACAATGCGCGGACAATGCATGAGTACTAAAATTTAGTCGCAATGTGAAAATATATGTACAACAATTAACATCACAATAAGTACAAAGCCGACATAAACACAATGTAGGATATTGATTTCTACGTGACACTGCATTTACAAATCCGAGATCCTCTTATTCGGGAATCTTGAAAAGGTGATAGAAATGACTCGAGGCTATCAGTCTAAACTCGCCCTCTCTGTCCCCTCAAACATTTGCGTATAATTTCAGAAGCTTGCACGGTATTGAAAAGCCACCGTCACTCTCCATTAGCCAAATAACTCGCAATCTTATCTTGAACACCCAAAGGAACCTTCGGAGGCAGGCTCGGTTGCTAGAAGTCGAAAGCAGGGGAACAAACGGACCGAATATAGGCTGCTATCGTACAGACCAGAGGGTACAAAAAGTACGAAGGAAATGTTGGCCAAGGTATGTATGCAGACCGCTTCAGTGCTCCCTCTTCTTTAGTTTCAACCCCGAGCAGCAAAGCCATCTGATCTAATTGTTCATCCTATGCTCTCCAACTCTTTCGCGGATCCGCCTCTTCTACCATGGATTCCAGCTCTTTTGTGATTTTGAACCGACGCTGCTTGACTTTTTATGCGTAGAATGGCTTTTCTCGTACGCGTTTTGCGGTCTGGTTTTGCCAGATGGCCTGCGAATTATTCTTGCGGCAAGTTACCATTGGTTGATACTCCGATTGGGGTCAGGTTGGGCTGCTGTGATACTCTCAGCCATAGTGGAGGATAATGGGCGACCCTAAGCGGGTAGCAGAGACGGGCTTAGATAAACGCGGAGGATGGTGGCGGAATCTGTTTTTTTTCCAGCATTTGTGGACATCATTCTTAGAAAGATTGTTGGTTCGAACAGTTAGTACAGAAGGCTTGCTGGTACGCTTTACTAACTGAAAACGTAGACGTGAGCTTATACCAGGCGTTGCTGAGTCAGTGAGGGGAGCAAGACTTGGAGTTGATTAAGATAGGCCGGTGGACATGGGCGAGCATCTTGCGCTTTATTGTGTCTCGACGCCGCATCGGACCAAGGACTAAACCCGCGAGGACCTCGCTCTCCACGGCGCCGACTCTTTACCATCCCCTTCGGCAGTTAGATTGACCTTCACCGCCTCCATATCCAGAGTAACTTCCTTGAAATTTGTGCGTCATGCGCGCCAAAGTCATCCGTCTCTAGTACCATATACAAGGCAGACCAACCTTTGGACGTCGGAGTCCTCTGTTCCAGCACCACCTCCCTTTCTCCACACATCCTCAACGCCCACAAAGCAGGAAGCAGACCGACCGTCTCAAGGCTTGAAGAGATCCAGCATGATTCAACTCCGGCTAAGAAGTTCGCCGCAGAACAGGACGACCAAAAACCCTCTTTCCAGTCAAACACCGAGTCTCCTTATGCTCAAAAGTTCCAAAAAGAGGACAATATTTTGTCTTCTCAAGGTATCACCAAGGATGAAGATCCACAGGACCTATTCGACGCCGACCCACTTCATGAGACGTCTGACCATCTATCCATCACTCTACCCGTCACGTCCCACGGATCGACACAACCATACTCCCAAGACTGTTCCGCGTAAACCGAAGGACCGATCTACCGATGATCTGCTAGGTAGAGCACAATCAAATGGTTCTCGTATCCTATCATCAGATGTGATAAAAGATCAGAACAGTACGACGAGGTTCCGGAAAGAACAGTATCATAAATAGAAAGATGATATCAGACAGCAGAGGAGGTACTTCCTTCATGATCAACTCCGCCTAAGTCCAGCATCGGCGAGTGTCCTTGGTGCATAAGTCATTTATAGCTTGTTAGTGAACAGCCCGGCGATGTAGGTTGCGCTGATAGGAAGTAAACTTTGTCAAGAAGCTTGGAGCTCGGAAGCGGTCTAGGTAAAGTTGACATCCATGCCGCGGGTAATGACTGCCATGAAGGCCGTCGATTTTGCTTCGTCATGCGCAGTTACATACTGGTACAGATCACGATTTATAGTGTGGAGGCCTACTATGGAGAGCTGGGCGCTTGAGAATATGGTGCGGCAGGGCTGAGTCGGATGTGCTCTGAATCGAGGGTGTCTTGTAGGCGATGGAGTTACTGCCCGAGGCACACCAACGGCTTGATCGGGTGATGAGTCAGGAATTGTATTCGATGCCATTTAGGTCGGCGGGGAGAGCGGAGCTGATTGTGGACCAGATTCGGAATGGAATGAACTGACTTGTTCGTCCTGACGGCGCGTACTGACTGGCGTTAAGAAAGTTTGTGGAGAGGCGCGAATTTAGTTCTTTAAAGTTGGGTTTCGGTGGGGCCCAGCTGTCAGGGATGAAGGTCCTTGCACATGCATTGTCATCGCCAGGATGCTCGTTTGAATAGTGTGATAAGCCCACACAGAGACATTGGCAAAAGGTTGATTGTCCCAGAGCGATGAGTTGAAGCAAAGATAATTCGACCACGCTACCATGGTCGGCCCCGGTTTGCTATGGCCAAACAACCTTAGAATACCTGACACTGCACAAACACTAAACCAACAGGGAGTAGTCATCAACCAGTCCCATACATATAAGTACCTTCGGTTCTCTATGGAATTCCATCCGAGCCAGTCTAATCCCATGTCAAGTTCAGCAAAGAGCCTAGTTCCGCAGGACGATCGACGCCGAACATGATAGAACGGCTGCCTGACGAGCTACTCACCGAAATTATCGGTTATGCTGGCCTTGATAACACACACAGACCTTCAGCGCAGAACATAAAACGTTTCGCTCCAGTATCCAGGAAGTTCGCCAACTGTACCCAAGAGATCCTCTATCAAGACATCGACTTAGTGGTACGAAACAAATCCACAATCGACACTCCGAAAACAGCGCACAAAATAACATGTCTCTTCCAAACTCTTCTTAAATGTCCTGGACTTAGATCCAAAGTCCGGAGTTTATGCCTAGTAGACTGCCGCAAGCGCGGCAAGTCGCCAAGCGCATGGATTGGACTAGGAGAGCACGTGCGAAGTCTGGCTCTTCCCGTCGAAGTCAAGTATATCTGGCTGGATGAGGCGCAACGCAGGTCCTCCGAAGCTATGTTGGTCGGTCTTTTATCTGTCGTAACGAACTTACGGGGCCTTCACCTCACGAACGCCGGGAATCTATCCCTGCTATCAAGATTTTGGGGAGTCCCCTCTCCACCAATATTGCGATTGCTGGAGACTTTGAAGATTGAACCGCTGATTGAGGCCGTGCGAAATGACTACTCTCCAGTGAGCCATTTTACAGGAGTGCATGGTCAGAAGAACACGTCACTCTTCTACCACCCGGCAATACGCAATCTTGCTATCATGAATATTCACAACGGTTATGTGAATGACGACCGCTTGGGAGAACTTCAAGGTGTATCCAGAGTTACCAACCTCGTTATTCATGGGTGGATACAAGATATGTATCTAGCTTCATTTCTAAAACGATTCAAGGGACTGAGAAGGTTTGTGTTCATCGAAATACCTCTTCCAATACTATATTTCAACCTTGCTATCGGGTTACGGGAGCATTGAAAATCATTGCAACATCTCACAATCGACTACGAGGTCGACAACTACCTTTTCAACTTTAGTGAACTTGAATGCCTTCAAACTCTGGAAATCCCAGTTCCCCACTGGATCGCGCCAAATGGGCACCCCGAATATATTGCGCGGCGGCTCGCACATTGCCTCCCGAGATCACTTCAATATCTGCATTTCTTTGTAGGGAGGCGACGTGACTATCGCCCTTACCCACCATCACCTGACGGATGGGAGCATCACTTCGACGTTGAGCATCTAAGACTCTTCCTCCCATGGATTTCTGACCGCTTGCCCTATTTGCGTCGCATCACTTGGTGTGAATTTAGGCGCATTACTCGGATCGATCTCGTGGAAAAGCTCCAGGCGGCGCTGGAAACAGCAGGTGTTCTAGAAAGCTTTGCACATGCAGAAATTGAGTTGGCTTACAGACGCCCGTCGTTCGGGCTCAAGAGCAAAGACATAGCATATCATGTATTTTCCGTGTAGAAGTTCCTATTCGTGTATTTCGATCTATTCTAATAAATTATGCTCTGCTTGCGCTCTCTCTACTTCGTGAAGAAATGGACTTGTCTCTTATTTGATCCACCGCGGAAACCCAGAGCGTATCATAGAATCAGTCAAAGTGCAACTGATCGTTTCGCTTGTCTTCGCATGTACCTGAACATGATCAAAATCAAACTATGCTTTAGATCTAACAAGGTTCCTGCGACCCTCCTAGACATAATTAGAAATGATGTGAAGGTACCATGGAGACTCTTGTAAGGGCTTTCGCAGGAGTGAGTACGATTTGCAAAGTCTAGGCACCAAAGATACGCGATGATAAATGGATATCAGATTGATTTGATTGAGTTCTGATTCTTGGCAGCCATCTAGCTAGAACGAGTTTCTAATAATTGCCAATGCACCAAATATCAAGCTCTCATAAGTCGCCTCATAACAATATCGCGACTAGACTTACTCAGAAGGCTAACCGATATCGCTGTATCAATTCCTATGCCCACCATGAATAAAAAGAAAGACAATAAAATGAAGTAAGGAAAAGCTCTCCAATCGTGGAGACATCGCCAAGCCCACCACACAGCCTCCTAATCGGAAGAAACCGTGCTCAGTGCTCCTCCTTGAGAATCAAGGTCTCCACCATCTACGACCTCAATATGAGCCCCTGTATTCCAAGTTCCTTCCAGCCAATTCTCTACTGCTCCTCGTGGGGTAGCCTTCTTCAAATAATCTTGTGCGAAAAACACCGAGAGAAGGGCGACGCCCACATTGTGAATGTCCAACCACGAGACCGTGACCGCGAAGCAAATGAGAATTATGAATAGGATGATAATGTCCCGGAACGAGTTCTCGTTGCCTGCTAAGACGCGAAATGGTTCCACCGGATACTCTTCCTCCGGGTCCAGGTCTAAGGTATCCTCAGAGTGGCCATCCACTCAGGTTGAAAATTGATGTGAACTCTGCTTGTATTGTAGTGGCCGTACGGGCCGAATATATACTAATAGGAAATGGCCCACCCCCTAGGTCTTATCAGCTCAGCTGAATAGAGGCCAGCTGAAAGGAACGAACCCAGCTGAGAGAAACCTGTTGTAGCTGAACAGAGGACCTCGCCACGCTGAGTGCGCGTTAGCAGCAACCAATCAATGAAGAAGAACGAGAATTAAGGAGAGAGAAGGGGGGGAGTGCCTGTACGTAGGTGACCGTGAACCGTATGAGTTGTTGATCCTAGGTTGTAGCTGTTACAACCCGAGTCATCCGACACTGTGAGGGCTTGCAGCTCCCGTTCACCTTCATCTCCGTTTCCAACCTGAGTATGAAGGCATGCCTGGCTCTCTCGGTTCTGCGAGTTCGTGGTCGGAGGGGCGGGATCGCGCACGTTAGATGGGCTCTGTGCGGTAGTTGTGTGGTCAGCCATGGAGGCTTTGGTGTTCGACTCTGACTCGGATCCAAGAATGCAAACGTTGTGAGTGCTAATTGCCGGCTTCTCGGAGTCCTCGGAATCCTTGGCGTCCTGATGGGCATCCCCAATGGCCATGCTGTCCAGAGTGTCGCCCGGAACGTTATCAGTCTCCACTGCATCGTCAACCCGTATGTCTTCTGGAGGAGTGTCCACATTTTCCTTCTCTCCCCTATCGTCTTCTCCCTCCGCCTCTTCTTGCATCTCGGGATTGCTTGCAAAGTCGTCATCCACTGCTCCGATATCGATTATTGCTGCTGGTTCTTCATCCAACAGAAAAGAGCCATCAAGTGCATCAATTCGAAACAAGCCATCAGTCTCATCGTCACCGGAAGATGAGCTTTCAACGTTCAGCTCGGAGTAGTTAAATTGGAAATCTTCGACGTTAAAGGTGTTCGAGTCAACCTGCGAAGGGTTGAATGAAAGAAGAGAATGGTTCAAGGACGAAGAAAAATCCGCAGAGTCTTCAAGGCTTTGCTCAGCTTCAGACGTGTCGGATTCAATTCCACTATCAGCCGTCTCCTCTGTGTCATGACCTGACTTCGCTTCACGAGTCTCCGAGAAGCTTTCGCCGAGCTTCGCGGATGGGCTCTCCTCACCGGCTGGTTCTGAGAGTACTTTTGTGGAAGCATCGTTGACATCGAAATCCTTGCTTCGCTCCGAGGCAACACTCCTATTTTCCGATTCTGATGTTTCAGCGGTCTCTGAGAAAACTGATTTCTCTGACCTTGGATTGCAGTCATCTGAATGCATTCCGGCCACGCTATTCGTAGCTAGTGGTTTTGGCAGCGAAAACATCTCGGTAGTATCCTCCGATCCAGAGAGCCTAGAACCATTCGAGAACTCCATGTTGGTTGGCGCACCAGTTTCGGGCATGTGCGCGGCGCCAAATGCACTACCGGACGCATCAGAGGGTGCCAAATCGACATCGGAGATGTTGGCCTTGACATTATCCGGTTCTCCAGCAGGCACACCGGAAACGTTGCTAGGCTCTGGGGTTGGAAGCGTCTCATCCTTCGGCGAACCTGCCGGAGTAGCACTTTTTGCAGAGCCAGCCGCGAAGATCTTGTGGAATCGGCTGCGCTTCGTTGAATTCATGCTCGACAGAGGCGAGCTAGATCTTGATGTGCTATTACTAGCAGATCGCGATGTTCCACCTCCAGATGCCGACTCAGCCGACGATGAAGAAGTTGGGACCTCTTTAGTTGTCGTACGTCGATTGCCTGGACTTGTGTCTTCGTTTGCTGCCTGCTGCCCCTTGGAGCTGTCCGATGCGCTCCCGGTGTTCGATGCGCCGGACCCGCTAGTCGAATTCTTCGGCACGAGATTCTCTGTCATGAAGTTCGCAAAAGCATCGGGACCTAAGGAGGCACATCCTTTCTTGGTACCTTGACCCCAGGGTGTGGTTCCCATGCTGATATCGGGGGAGGAGCACGGTGGAACTGAGGTTGGGTCGACGGGTTCAAAACCTATCGGGTACGGGTAAGAATAACGATTGTCCCACCCTGGTACGTCTTCAGGTCTGATCGGCTCTAAATTTGAGTTGTACAGTGTAGAGTCCCATGGAAATCGATTCCGAAAGCAGCCCGAGAACTTGTCCCAATCCATGATCCCTACTAGTGAGCCATCTCCATCTCTGAAGATGAAAATTGCTCCTTGTCGCCTGTCGACATAATGAAGTTCTCGGTTGGTAGGAAGCAGCCGATTAATTTCGTCTTGGCTAATCATCACGGGGAGTTGGTAGGGGTCCTGTGAGGGACCATAATGCACACCATCTAGTTCCAAGAACATGCGATGTTGGAATAGACATACCAGATTTGCTTAGTTTGGAGGTTCAACAAGGACCCTGTCGGCGCATCCCATCGGTATCTGGACATATGCGCGAAGCCATCCGAGTCCTTTTCAGCACGAATGTAAAGTCCTCCACGATTCATCCAAAGGCCTGGTGTTCCCGCGACTGGAGTCAAGAGTTCAGACTCATGTTGGATCTCCATGAACTCGACAGGAAACTCGTATCTGCAGTGCTTGGTGAATCCAGGAGGCTTTCCGTTTATAGCTTCCAGATCTAACCCATAGAAAGCCGGGTCCTTTTGATCGCGGTTGCGGAAGCACCCAGCAGCTCTGTCCCAGTCCAGTAACGTGGAAGGTTGATTGAGTCCGCGGCCAGATATGCATACGGATTCCTTTCCGTTGGTGGTAGCTCGGGGGAATTGGGTGCAGAAGAGACTGGCCTCTTCTTCATCGGTCATCCGCAGTGGTAGTCGAGAAGGATCGGGCTGGGGCCCAAAGTGGAAACCGTTTGGGTAGACTGTATAGTTAAGGTACCGGGATTCGTACTTTCCGGTCTTGATGTTGTACAAACAACCCCTAGCTGTATCCCATCGTAGTGCCCACTTGATGAAGTCACCATCCGCCGATATATTAACATAGCAGTAACAGCCACGGCAGTCTGTATAGAGGCCAGGTGTGCCACTGACTGGCTGGAGCTTACTCACAAACACAGCGAGCCTGCTTTCTTCATTGGTGAATGCCATGTTTACTTCCGACACGTATGGATCGTGGTGGTATGCGGTAGTCTTCTCAGCTTCGTTTAAGTCTGGAAAGACTTCCTTCCCCTCGACCGTATGGAACACTGCCTTCGTCTGGCCATCGTCTGTGATCTTTTCGGACATCAACATGCCGAGAGCTGTACTCCAATGGTATGAGACGCTGAAACCCTCGCTCGAAAGGTAGTACACTCCGAGACCATTAGTGTAAACACCTGCCTTGGGTGTCTTCAGGAGGCGGTAGGTCTGCGCCGCCACCGAGTCGAACTGCTTGTCCAGCAAATCTTGCCGAGGGATTGTCTCAACCGGACCCGTGGGGGTGAGATGCGGAATCGATGATTTTGGGGACATTTTGTTAGCCTGTTAATCGGCGGCATTAACGTTAGCTATCAAGCTTTGCACAGTTTCCGAGGGCTATCAAGGAGATGAGGACTAACTTACAAGTGCCGAGCTTGAGTTGAGAAGGGTAGGATTATAGAGGAGATACAGTATTGCTGTGGTGGGGATCGATTCGAAGCAAACCAAGGTGTGTGGTGGTGAGTATTGGTGTCGGGGTTCGAGAAGGAAGTTGGTGGAGAGTGTGAGCTGCTCTGACCGGGCTTAAATGGGCGAACTGGGAGCAATTTCACTGGTCCGTGCGTGAGCCGCTCCCCGTCCACTTCCACCTGCCGTAGATTTGCGGATCGCGCGAGCGTCTTAGTGGTGAATGTAGGGGATGACGATATAAGTTCACGGCCCTGTTTGTAGCGCCAAGAGATTGTATAACATCAACAAATGCATGGACCAGGTGAATATCTGCGCTACATACACCAGTAGAATCTTCTCTACTTGTATTACGAATTGTATATATCTCTTGGAAGCAATATAAGAATATTAGACGGTCGGCGCTCAAAGGATGTCACTATTTGTATGTGCAGGACGACTCAAACAACCCAGATCTTTGATAGTCCAGGTATAACATTCCTGCGACGTCTCCCACGACGCGCCGACTTGGACGCCAACCTGGGAAATCGCTTAGTGTCTTTCCACGAGCTGCGAAATAGTCTTTACACTAGAGTGAATATTACCTCGTCTTCGTCAAAGAATGCTAGAGGTTGAATAGATAATACTCACATCATGACTGAAATCAGGTGTGATAAAAGTTAAAGCCTAATACTAGACAAAAGCACGTAGACGCAAGCCGGGTGCATCTTTTCTTTCTTATCCTCGAACAGATTACCTTATTGTCCGATCTAGTCACGTTGATGAGGAAAATAGCTTGGAATTACCATTTCGAGAATCTTATGGCGGATAGCGGCCCCGGGGTGGACGGACACGGGCTTCGATCCAAATTCTACGTCGCGAAGTTCACGTGTCACATCATAAGCCTCTGAGCATCTGCGGTATCTGAGAATATGTTATGTAGTCACTTTTCCTAGTGAGAAGGCCCTCTCCCCAATACATAAGTTAAATCATCAAGCAGTCTGATCGCACCCATCTTCGCCCCTACCGTACCCTATGGCCTCTTCCCTCCCGACCTATCTACTCGCTTCTACGTTGCTTTAGTTTATGCTACTTAAGGGGCTATAGAGACCAAAGAGAGGACTATTGCAGTGAAGGAGATGCCCAAGGTGTACTTGATGATACTATCCCAGATTGGGAGCACCAGGTGATCTCCAAACTGGCTTCGTCGGGCTTGCTGCTTTTGTGCAAGAACCTCCGAAGTTGAGATGACTCCCGCTCTGTCAGCAATGCCGTCCTCTGATTGCACTGTGCTATTGTCATGGCTTCGCTCTTGCGTCACGTCGGTTGGCAGCGATTCACGATTCAGAGACATAGATACTCCGCCATCTGAAGTTTGGTCCTTTCCGTAAAGACCTTGGGGGTATTCCAGTGAAAGTTGAACGTTGCTGGTGCCAGGTGGTCCGACCGTGGATGAATGACTGCGAGGCCACTCGATCTTTGACTTGGTTTCGCGTACGTTAGATGTGTTGATCGAAATATGGCTGGTTGCCCCGAGGTCGTGGTAAAATGATGGCCATGACTTCACCGTATTTTGGTCGGGCCCTGTCATCTACCAAGGCGCTAGTGTGCTTTCGGTTCTTCTCAGACACTTCCATCTGCCGCTTGAAAGCAGGCACTGCCCGAGTAAGCCATGCCCATTTACGGATCGCCCATGCAATGTCCGCAAGCGCTTTGTTGCGCGCCTCATGGCTTTGTGCCATCTCTTTCCAGACAGCCTGATATTTTTCGGCCATGGCGTTGACCTTCCCCATATCGTTTGCATGTGCCCAGAGGATTGGGCTCTTCTCTTGATACTCAAGATAGATCCCGTGCCAAACTTCTTCGAGAAGTTCAAGCTTGCTGTTTTCCTTCGTAAGATTTTTCTTCAGCTGTTTTAAATTCTTCTTGGACCTTTCGGTTGCTCTCCTTGTCCGCATACTCGTAGTACGCTTCGAGTGCCTTCCGGGAGAGGAATGGGAACATGTCTTCCGGATCGGTGTGAATAGTAGAAGGATTTTCACCGGCGTTCAAGAAACCAGCGCATCCTTGAGCGATCGCAAAAGCAGTCATTTCCTTGTCTGTGTACCATGAAGAATTCATGATCTCTCCGTTGAGGTCTAGACGGTCCTTGTTCCAGTCCTTATGACTCTCAAGAACGAACTTTGGCCAATTGGATCCATCTGGGTTCACCAAGGTCTCGAAGGACGACTTGTTTGCATATTCCTTGAAGAGTGATGGAATCTCGAATGGCTTCTCCTTTACCGGCTCCGTGTTCTCATCTACCCAGTCGCAGGGCTGTGCTTAAGTAGCATGTGGCGGGTTTGGCGTGAACTTCGTATTCTTTTGGCTCCCAAATCCTCCGAATCCGAATGCTGACGATGATGGAGGCGCAAATTCCGACCCAAATGCAACCGGAGACGATGACGGCTTTGATGAGACTTGTCCAAAAGAGAACGACTGCTCAGTAGATTTAGGAGTGGGTGAGCCGTCTGCAACGCCGAAGCCCTGAAATCCGCTTCCGGTCGCTGCATCTGCTTGCGGAGGTTTCGACGGTGTGAAGTTATGCATCGAGGACATCTTACCAGCCTTTCCTTTGCGACCTATAGCCATCTTCCGAGGCGCAGACTTGAAAGAAGTCCCACTAATGGAAGCTGAGTCTGGAACACCTGCAGCAATTGATGATGTGTTCAGGCTGTCCAGGAAAGCGTTGGCCTCCTCCGTGGTTGTTTTGGGAGGCCCGAAAGTAGCATTCTCTCCAGCCTCGCCGTCGTGACCCACATCGTAGTGAAAGTTGATGCTTTCCCCTTTGCGCTCCGTTCCGTCCTGATTCGTCCCACAACCGTAGAAGGTAGTTTCTACGATGTTGCTATACTCTGACACAGCGTGCGGACTATACGAAGCAAATTCGATGTTTGAGCTAGAGTAGTGGTTGTTTTGGGCAAATGTACTCGCACTCAAGTCGCTGCTGGCGGACTCATCGGCTTTATTTGCATGGTTTGCCTCGTTTTCCTGAACATATTCCAGGGCTCGTGCCTTCCTCTTCGTGGTCATATTGGTCAAGCTCTTTCGCTGCGGTGTCTTCCACACTCGAATCTTGGGTGAAGCATCCATCCCTGCCTGTGCTTCGTGTCGCATCCGACACGTCTTCGCGGGGCTCGTGCTGATATATCAAACTGAACATCCTTCCGGTCGGTCATCGTGGAAATTGAGGGTTTGCTTGGCGGTATCGCACTTGATGTGAAATCCTTGCCGTAGATCTCCATGTCGAGTTTGGCGTCTTCACCCACATCAGCCGTGTCCGCCAACTGGTCAACGCTATCTGGTAATGGAGCATGTATACGACCGTTCTCACTGGCTTGTGATAGACCGGCATTGTTGGTAGGCACCTGTTCGACTTCTTTCTTGTATTTTGCCAAAGCCAATGCAACTCTCTGACTAATGGTCATGTCGGTTGGATGATAGAATGCGATTTGAATGTCTGTGCGAGCCTGGGGCATCCGCGTGACGCTGGTGAAAGACATAGCTGGTGGTGCTATGTGGGAAGAAGAATGGTGATGGAAACCCAGGAAAGCGGCAGGATTTTCAAGGGCGGTAGACCGGCCCGCAAACATTGTGCCTGTAGTGGAAAGGCTAGGCTTGGTGTTGAGAAAAGGATGGTGGGTGGTGGGAGGTGCCAAGGTGGGCATAGTGGAAGGAAGAGCGATGGATGGGAGTAGAAGAAGACCTTAAATACCCCAGGGAGAGGAGAATACTAGATTCACTGGTCCGTGCCCGTTTCACTGAATAAATTCTTGAGGTCTAGTGGCGCGAATGCCTAGGAAATGGTGAATGTTCCACATGGTGAATAGGTGTCGTCAGTGTGCAACCGTGTGCGGGATAAGAACGTATATCGGGCATGAGTAGGAGTTGTGCAGACTTATAGCTTGAATAATCTAGTAGTTGAAAGCATCATTCTATCTTCTTACAATTTATCTATATAGCGGGAACAAACACCACGCGGGCGAAGCCAGGACGGTAGGGGTTGCCTGGGCAGCTAACGGGGGACAAGGTGGCTAGGGATTCACCAACACAGAAATCATGAAGTTAAGCCAATACTACAAGTCTTCGAGAAGCTTGTAGACTTTGCTTCACACAAAGCGCATCCTTTTGATCAGACACCACAAACTCATTGTTCAAACACTTTGAGACCCCTTGTGATACAGACACCTTTGCGCTTCTTACACTTTCTTGCTCACAAAGGACATCCAGCCCACGGTCTAGCAAACATATATGCGAGCACGCCGCTGCCAGAATTCCCAAGTCTCTTCATAGTCTTCAGATCTCAGCAACCCAGTTGAAGAGGACCTCATGCCACCCAAGCGTCGTCGAACCGGAAAGCCCGGCACATTGATCGTCAGACTCCCTGATTCACTAAGTTCTGGTCCGGAGCCGCTGGAGTATCTGATCAGCAACCTTCCCAAAGAGCGTGGTCTGGAATCGCTTCAGGACATAATAGATGCCCTCCCGAATGAATCTTTCTCAGCGACAATCGCCGCTACTCTCAGGGATGGCGATTTCCTGTCTTATGTAGAGTTCCAAAAGTCTCCTGAACGACAAGCTGTCTTTGGTACAAAGTTTCTAGATCAACCGCGTCTGACCCGGTATTATCCATGGACGAAAGGTATGCCCAGGGATAACGTCTCGGCGTACACGCAGAACGTAGTTCTAGCAGACGTTATCACTACGGCTAATAAGGTATGTGCCTACGTTATTTCCCGGTCCCCCAAGTCCACTCTCACATCCTGACTATATTCAAGCTGAAAGATGACTTCCAGAATCTCCATCTCAACCTACACGTCGCAGGTGCGGATGCAACTACTCTTCTTACTGCTGAGGTGCTCCGCGGCATGAGCAAACCATTGAGGCCAACACCTGCTGTGCTGATGAATATACCTTCACCTCGCCTCCACGACTTGTACTCTACGCCTCCGATATTTGCCACTGAGAAGGGGGTTCTAAGACGAACGGAGGTCACGGTGAATATTGGGCCGTATTTGAGTTTCGTAGATTTACATCACGGTATGTTGAAAGGCTTGACTTTCCTCGTCGTTGCGTCCTCTCAACTAGGTCCAACAATATTCCTTGCCTAGCTGTGCTAATAAGTACTCCAGACGACGCACATGGCACTCAAACCCTCACTTCGGGCCGGAAGCTATGGCTCTTCTTTCCCCCAACCGAGACCAACCTTTCCGCACTATGCACAGCCTACCAGGCATCCTTCCATAACACGAAGGGCTCGTCTCGGGGTGCCCAAGGGGAACGCTACCTGGCCGCGTTGTCTGGAATATACCCAGCTGACAACGCCATTCAGCGTGCCAGCACAGATTCACCAAAGCTAAGCAACGGCATCGCTGTCATCCAAACCGCAAATACAAACATGTGGATTCCCCCGTTCTGCCCTCACGCCGTATTCACGCTCCAATCTTCCGTCCTGGTTGGGCGCGAATTCTATCTTCCTCGCACGCTACCCCTAAGAATCGAGCAGGTAGAGCTGTTCGGCGCGTACGAGAAGTGTGTCTCCGAGACAGGACGACCTCAGGTTGATTGGGTAGTGGAGCTCGTTGAACACATCGCGGCCGTACTTCGGCTTCCGATGAAGAAGAAGAAAAAGAAGATGACCGGAACCACCAAGAAGGCGCCGAAGCGGAAACGGAATGATGATGACGCAGGAACCCAGGGGAACACGAACTCGAATGTCTCAACTTCAAGCTCGTTGCCTCCACCAGCGACGGCTCAGAGTACGCGCTCAGAGCTGGAAGTCATCTTTTTGTGTTGGTTTTCGCAGTACGAGAAGATTGAAAAGCTAGTCCAGAATATCTCTAGCATGCCAGGAGTAGGAAAGGAGGACAGGCAGAAGATGAGCAAAGCGGTCACCTCGGTATGGCGAGAGTTTTTACGACATCCGGAAGTTCAAGCTTGGAGGGCGTGTCCAGCATGTGGAGCAGACTTTAGAAAGCAGAATCGGCGTGAACATTTATGGAAGAACCATTTATTACCCTGCCATTCAGAAGAGGGGTGGAAATTCTGGGGATGGTTTGGCAAGGTACAGTAGAGAGAAGGGGAATGAGAAAATAAGACGACAATAAGCATCCTTTCCAAGCCACCTCATGCAGTATAACCTCGATGTCAGAAGTCATTGAAAACCGTTCTAATTCAAGCTGCTATCCACCCCTCCACCCAAAACCAACCCTTACCCATATTCCTCCTGTCTACCTCCAATTCATAACACCATGAAATCGCAATTAATCGAAGAATATGCCATTTTCCATGCCACCTCCGTATCCAGAGTTTTAGCATAGGCGAATCGTAGTGTAAATTAGCTTGATGACCTAGGTGAATGAAATTAGAATATACTACAGTACAGTCCTGCGACACAAGTTTGGGCACTCTATCCTGCTACTGCTAGGGGTACTGCAGGGTTTTGATGATCTCAATAATCGTTCTAAATTGAATAGCGTCTGATTGAGATTGAGCCCTATGGTCTTTCAGTACTCCGAACACAATGTCACTGACGATGCAGTGGAGATTGGGCAGCTTTTTGACTGGGCAGCTACATGCTAGCTGGGCTACTCCTTACAGTGGTACCGAGCGGTCAAGAGTAGAATCTGTGAAGAGGTATATCCAGATGCCTAAACTTATAATGTAGTACTTCACTAGAACACAATTTTCGGCACCCCATATTTTCCATCTTGTCGTTATTTATGATGAGGTGCTGAAGCACCACAAACAGCAGCAAGTAGGCTGACTGCCCAGGTGTGAATTATCTTTAATTCAAGCTCTCTGGGAGTTTAACACCATATAAAAACTTTAGGAATGCCCTGGAGGACCTCTCACGGTGGTGAACTCGTGTTATTAGACTTTGGTAAGGTACTGTAGTTCACTCAAGTGTATTCGGTGTAGCCTAGGCTCTATTGCTACCGTGACAGCCCGTCTTTCTTGAAGATGTTACAAAAGTAACTCCTCCAAGGCCCCGATCCCTCATCTACTCATCCTCTTTCCACGCATCCACCGACGCCGTCCACGCCCGCATGTTTCTCAGCCACCTCTTCTCCGCCGACAGCTCCATATCCAGCAGCTCCCGCGCCTCCTTTGCGCTCTTGACACACTGAAGCAGCTTCGCTCCCCACGAGTTGCGGTCGCCGAGTGCCAGCAGCAGAGCGTTGAGCTTCTCCACGGCCTTGTCGAAAGCCTCAGCCGCCTCCTTCAGTGCCGCTTGAGCTTGCTGTAGTTCGAAGACCGCGTTCGACGCGAAGATGACCGCGCCACAATATGCCCCAACGATCCTCCTGCAAGCAGCAGCGTGAGCCTCCTCACTGCATCTGTAGTATGCGGTGTCTGATGGAAGCTGGTGGCCCAGCGATGCCTTGGCTTCCTCCTCCCTCGCGGCCTTCGCGGACTTCAGGTAGTCACTTTCCCACTTCTGGCAGCGGAGCATGAGTTTGCCGCCAGTAGCCCAGAGACCTGCAGTTTCGGAATCGAGGTTCTTTGCGACTTCGGGGGAGATGTAGGATGCAGACGAGCAAGTGCCACGGTTGAGCGCTGCTCGCTTCTCTGGGTCGATGAGGGTCTCGTAGGCGTTCTGGATGACCTTGAAGATATCCTCGCTCTTGGGGCCTTGAACTGGGTCGCGGGCTTTGTCCGGGTGGTAGTGGAGTGCGAGGTTGTGATAGGCGGAGCGGATGGTTTTGTCGTCTGCGTCTTGCGCGACACCGAGAACGGAGTAGGGGTTCGGCATGGTGGCGGTGATGTTGATTGATGAAGACGATTTGGTAAGCCGATGGCGGATGGATTGGTGAAGAGTGGCTTGGTGGAGGCGTGTCGACGGAAGGTGACTTGACTGAAGATCTTCGAGGAGTCGGAAGAGCTTTATGTAGTCGCTAAATGGTCAGCCTACGAAATGACATCGGACTAATAGTGAAGTGAAAGTCCGGCAGTGCTGGGTCTTGGTGCAGCGAAAAGCGTGTAAATGTGGGCAATGGTGGCTCTCACTAAATATCTCCAGTTATTCTCTATTACTAAAACAGACACTCCCCATTTTCGTCCCTTTCAATAGAGCCCCAAGAGATAGGTAAGTTTGGCGCCTCCTTGCCACTATTTGACGTACCCCGATAGGTTGCTGAAACTCGAGATACGATGGAACGGCCAAGTAGTGGGATTGAGACGGGTGTGGTGAGGAGCTGATCATCTCGTGTGGGTAGGGATGGAGTACAAGGTCATGAGTCTGGACACACAAATTCATCACTGCTCGTGCTCCACTCTTGCTCGATCAAAATTGCTGTAAGAAATACTCCAGCTAACAGGTAGCCGATTAGTTAAAATGTGGCCCAATTCCCACTGCGTTGATCTTCATACCACGTTGAAACACCATATATCTAGGCATCTGCACAGGCCTCTGCACGGGCTCCACTCTTTCTCGATCGACACCACTGTCAGGAGTAGGTCAGCTGGCAGGCAGTAGCTTGGTTAAAAGAGAGTTTGATTTCCATCACCATCGCCGCAGAATCACTTCATCCACCATTCCTCATCTTCAACAACTTCCTCCTGTTGTATCTCCACCACCGACAGGTCCACCCATCAACCACTTCCTCTTCGAAATTGATCCCACCACTCAACAGCCAACACCATAGTGCCCTGCGTAGATAACTACCATCATTTCTTTCCCTCTCTCTTTTGCTCCGTCCCAGCCGCAGCCACCACCATTGTTCTTTAGAAAACCCGATTCGAACGACCCCAACCTCCCACCACTCCATGAAGTGGAATATCTTGTGCTTTTGCCCTCTCTAGAACTCCATTCCATACCAATATGGCTGCTTTTTCGATCTCGATCCCACTTCCATATCGTCCCCCTTCTTTGGTTGTTGAAGAAGACACCCGCGTCTGGCCTGGGCGACAACTTGAAGAAAGGAGAAAGAGCTTTTATACCTGCCGGCAAAAAGAGAATACGAGTGGCGCGTGGCGGCCACGGGAGCATGTTGAGGTAACCAGTGATTCCATTCAGGATCTCAGCCAGCGCTGATGAGCTGACTGGATGGACAGGGGGGCTTATCACGTGCCCTGCTGACTTTTCGGCTTCGCGAGGGTATAAATCCATTTATCTCTTTCGAGCTTTTGGTTTCTGGCAGAGAGTTAGAGGCCCTTGGGGAGGGTGATCAAAACCCGAAGGGTTTCCATGTCATGAGTACAGTGCGGGTGTGCCTGGGAAGGGTGCAAAATTAGTCAAGTTTGGTTTCCATGTGCCCGTTGGGGCTCGAGGTTGTGACTCGTACTATCAAAATCGCCAAGTACGAGGACAATGGAAAGAGGATTCGAAAGATGTGTCTGAAGTCATCGTGAGGGGTGGAGGTGTGTTCTCGTTCGAAGCGATGCTGATGTCGAACCTCCCTATCGCAGCTCGATGATTGGAATCGTACTTACCAGCATGCGACCAAAAATCTACTCCTCCCATCATCACTACCTCGTAGCAGTTCGAACTGGCAGCTCTCATTCGCACTAGAATCCTTCAGCATCGAATAGATCCCGCCACTTTTCATCATCACGCACAGAAGGCAACCAGCATCACCTTGTCATCGAAGCCCCCCGACTACGTAATCCGCAACAACACCCCCAAGGGTAATCCTTTCCAATTTGTCACCCACCACTCCCCCAAGCCTCCACCCATGCGCATTTTAGGAACCCTGGTTTGCAGCAAGACTCCCGCGGCCCTCCCTTAAGCACTTTGGGTTTGATGCCGCCTCCATGCACGGCGAACATTGCTATCATTCATCCTCCTTCAAAGACCTCTGCTGAACACGACCAAGAAACGACGGCCGTGGTTTTATACCCGCTGAAGAGAGTAAGGGGGTTTACGTAAGCCAGCACGCGCTAATCACGTGAACCCAGACACGTGTTTTCAATACAACATTCATGAAACTCCTGAAAGCCGCACGGACAATCTCATTACACCAAAGACCGTACCAAAGACTACATACAGGAAGCAAAACCACGCACGCATTAAACCTCAAACTTATTTTCCTCATATATCCCCTAATCAAGCTGACCGAACCGATCAAACGCCATGCAGAAGTAGAACCGACTTCGAGTATCCCGACTCATGAATCATAAAAGACGGGTATAAGGAGTGACAAAAACTTCAAACACAAGAAACATCAACCCGTTGCGTCAAGATTACTTTTCAAGCCTCCGATCCGTACTTCTCTCCCCCCTTCCAAGCGCCCACAGCTCCAACTCCTCCGCCGTCGGACTGCTCGGCGTCGAGCTCACAGCGCTCGGATCGCGACGGTGGCCAGTTGGTAAGTCAGATCCCAGCGTTGAGCTCACAGTGCTCGGATCCCGCCGATGGCCAGCAGGAGGCTCGGAGCCCGTACTCGTTACCATGTTCGTCCGCGTCGGAACGGCACTGCTCGAGCGGAGCGTGCTCAACGTGCCGAAGTCGCGTAACGCGGAGACATCTTCGAATGGCGTGGCGTAGTCCGAGGGTGCAGGACTGCGTGCTTCAGGACTGACAGGACTACCAACCCCCGGCGTAGTCGCTTCACTAACGCGCCCACCGCTGTTTTCGCGAGAGTGGTTGAAGTTACCAACGGGTTCGAAATGCAGGCCCTGGACCTGGAAACGGCCGTCGTCGCCAGGGAGTTCATGGATAGCCGGCGGGCGGTCCTTCCGATCTCCGCGCTCGAAGTACTCGCGGCCGCCCTCTCGAGCCGGGGTCGTGCCTTCCGTGGGCGGACTCTCCATCTCGCTGACTTCGGGCGGGCTTTCAAGCTCGTTGAGGATCGGGATCTCGACGATGGGCGGGAAGGGTTCGCGATCTTTGTTATCACGACTCACCTGCCCGCCGAAGTAGCCTGCAGATTCGGAGAAGCGTGGTGGTGGGCTGCTGGTGGTGGAGTCGAGTTCGCTGATGCGGCGTTTCTTGACTTCGGTGCCGGCGGCTAGGGTGTCGATTTCGGAGGGTGGTGGTGGTTTGACTGGTTTGTTGCGGTTGCGACGGCGGATGAAGAACCAGATTGCTAGTCCAATGAGGATGAGGCCGAGGACACCGCAGCCGGCACCTATGCCTGCGATGGCGCCGGTGCTGAGTCCGGATTTCTTATGCGGTGAGGGCGGAACGTAGGAGGACGGGAAGATGGTTACGATGTGGGATTCTGGCATTGGGTCGGTGTAGTTTGCTGGGGCGACGGTGAAGTTCTTTCGATCATAGTCGACGATTAAATATGCTTCTTGGAGAAGAGCACGGCCAAGAACGAAGACACCAGTGGGCGAGCGTTTGAGGGGGAAGTATTTCGTAGAGTTGTCGTAGATCGGGAAGGACGCAGTGAGGTCAAGAGCGGCGTATGGGAGTACGATAGAGGCGACGTCGTTGCTAGGATTTGCGCCTGGGCCAATTATGAAAGTCATGGTGGCGTTCTGGTTTACATTATAGGAGTGGGAGGTATCATTCAAAGTATAGAGGTTCGTGTTATTGTCGTAGGTAAGGCGAAAGCGGTCGGCAATGGCGTCGCAGATGGGATCGGGTAGCCATAGGTAGGGGAGGGTCGAGTCTATTGTTGCGAGGAAACCGGAAGTGCCAGCCGTCATGGAATAGACATTAGACTCAATGTTGGGGTCAGGCGCAACAGTGATGGATTGCACGCCGACGATGAGGGAGCTGTTGCCAGCAGGCATTTGCATGGAAATGCCATGGCTCGAGAAGCGGGACTGGTCGTATCCACCCAGGGTCAAGCTTGCGAGAACACCTGCGGTATTGCCTATATCATGTCAGTATGAAGCTCATGACTTATCCAATATCATTTTCGTCGCGATCTCCATGCGCTGGGGTGCGCGATTCTCGCGTTGATCTTTGCTTCTTCGGCTAGTGCTCGATCCATAGCGTTCCTAGGAAGAGAAGGCTACTCACGGTATTTTGCTCCGGCCGAGTAGCCGTATGTCAAACTAGGGGTCTGGTTTGCGGATTGGAAGTTTGTTAGAAACGTATCAATGGGTCCACCGCCTATGCTCAGTGCTGTATCGGACAGTCCAAAGACACCCATGAAGAAGTCTTCTGTGATAATTTGGGCCACAAGCTGAGTCGTGAGCATCAAACTGGCGGCCGAGTCTGCTCCAAGGCCCACAGTATCGTGGCCATAGGTGGCATTTGGCTTGAGGTCTGGATACAACTCGATGGCGGCTGGAAGAGGGAGGTTGTAGATGCCGATTTGCTGCCAACTCGCAGAGGAGCCCGATGCGAATCCCAAGCTCTGCTTTGCATTGAATGTCTGAATGCCACGAGCTTCAGCGCACGAGTCTTTGTCGGGCTCGTTGCACCAGTCGGCCTGCGCTGGTATCGTCACAACAGAGCCCCCAGTCGAGATGAGGACTTTGAAATTCTGCCCGGAATGGCCATCACCGGTAGCATCCCCAACGTTGATCATGAAGGTCGACCAGGAGCCATCGTTGCCGTCGAAGGTACCGCTGGGAGCAAAGACGTAGGGCGCTGGAATCGTGCTCGCAGTTTCAGCCCGCCGATGGAAGGACATTGTCACAGACGGGTCATGGCGATGTGCAGAGAGCAGTGGGAGAGGTCTTCTCGTTCACGCGGTTTAGGATGGGGCTGAGATTAGGTCTTACGTGAAGACTAGGCCTCCATAGTATATTGAAGCAGCTAAAGATGGTTGCGAGCTACGACCGGAAGATAGGCCCAGAGAGGTGAGTGATGACGGCGAGAGCTCAGCTGGCGGGGCCACAGATGGGGCCACAAAAGCGGCGGCGAAGTTCCTCTGCAAGACCAGGGTCGACACGCGGCGTCTGGGGATTTCGTCTGACAGGCCACGATCCCAAAGACAAGACACGGGAATCGACGGATGACTGGAGAAAGACAGGCCGTGTGACAGCCACATGATTCTGCATGAAAGAGCTGCCGGGGGCAGCATGTTGGGCAGCCTTGACGGTTGACAGCTGGTGGTGGGGGCGGGCATCATGCCACGGCCCCGAAATAGCTGGCGACTTGCCTTCATACCTGCCTGGGTGCTCTGCGATGTCAAATGCGGTGGAGGCGCATGGCATCACTCCAAGCCCGTGAGTGGTGTCGGCGGTGCCCTCCGTGCTGCCGCCGGGCGTACAGTGCTGCTGAGTGGTGGTCGGCGTGTGGCTTCACGGGTGCGCAGAGGGCTGGCAATATTGATGGCGACGCTGCTGCTGGCGCTGGGGTTGGACGGCTGCAGGTCAGACGCATGCGGTCGAAAGAGGGTTGCGCCCCGCCCGGCGTGGTGTTGGCGAGACAGTGCCGTTGCTTTTCCCCTGCCCCTTTCCACCCCCCATGATTGGCGGCAGCTCCTGCAGCCCCTGGCCCGCTCCGGTCAACGTCGAAGCTCCCGAGCTCCCGAGCCCAGCCCCCATCCACCCTCTCTCAGCCTTCCCGTCTCGACATCACTGTCCGCCATTCACCGTCTTGCTCCGCCGCCTCGTGCTATATCGCCCAGCACATCATGGCTTGGGCGGCGTGCCGGATCTCCAACAAAACGACGATGCCGATTTCCTAGGCCATTTCCGGCGCTTCGCCCTGCTACCCCGTCTGCCGGCTGAATGGTACCACTGCTATAGAGTTGTCACGACTCAACCTCGTGCTGCCACATCTCTGCCTAGCGGGCGGGGTCGTCATCTTGCCCCCTGTCGTTGGCCGCTCTTGCTGGAGTGAGGCTCAAGCCATTCCCCGCCAGTCTAGATTCTTGAGTGCTCTGCAGGCCCTGTTTGCCGGATCCCGTTCAGGGCCGATGCCAGTTTGGATGCCATGGTGCCATTCGCGCGTAATACGGCAGCAGAGCTGGCGTTGAGCTCTGACAGCTCCCAGTCTGTCCAGGGCACCTCTGCCTGGATGCACGTCCGTGGCCTGCATAAGCCCGCGTGCTGTTCATATACCTCTCCCTTGCTGTTCCACCGCTCGTTGTTGTGTGCGAGGCAGAGCTCGCTGCTCCCGTTTTTCACGTAAGTCATGCTTTTCGTGGTGCAACCCTGTTTCGTTCTACCGCATTACAACTCCCCAACGGCTTCAAGTTCATGCCAAACTTCACCTCTCATCTTCAAGTCCTGGCCAATGTAGATCATAGAGCTGCTATATGTATCGGAAGGACATCATCTAGAGTACTACTCTGCAATCCATTCTAAAACGGCTACCGGTCATCTTTTTGCCCCTCAACATAACGTCCAACTAGCACGCAATCAGATAGCTCGTTACGTTCGTTGTCTTCTTGGAAATTTGCAGTGCCGTTCAATATACCATTGCAACATGCTTTCCAAAGGCACGATTCTTTCGTTTGCTTCTCCAAATTGGCCCTCCGCAGCCCCACCCCGCGTCCATCGAGTCAAGCCATCAAACTTCATGCGCCCCTTTTCTTTGTAGTACAGTCTACTCGTCTTCCTTACTTTCTTATCCACTCACTATCGGCTGCTTCGTTTCATGCTTCAACAATTGTCAGCCTTGCGGGATGATCTGATCCTCATATGATCTCGGCTGACATAATCCTAGCGCTAATCCAATTTGGACGACGCTCGCTACGCCTAATCGAGAATCACGCCTCGGCATCCCATCTTTATTTGCGCCAAAGAAGCTTAAGTGGAATATTGCTTTACCTATCCGATTGGAGTTGTACCTGAATTGATCCGCTGGCACAATCTTGTGGAAGACCTTATTGTGAAATCACGTGCATCCGGCCTACCCGTAAATAGACCCCACCCGGGCCCGGATATTCCAGCATGCGTCCATCGCTGTGGGTTCTCGCAATATTGGGCAGTGCTGCGGCCCAGAATCTCTCCGTTGAAGCATTGAACAAGAAACCTCCGCCCCCGTCGTCCTCATCAGCTTGGCCCGCTACCTGCCCAGGCCCGATAACACTTACCTCGACTTCGACTTGCTACGAAACGAAATGGAGTACTACGACGTGCTACGAGACTTCAACAACAACCACTAGTATCCACGATACCGTCACTTGCTTCGAGACAGTCACACAATGGAATTCGACAACGATCTTTGACACAACTACTATCTGGAACGTCTCTACGGAGACGAAAGAGGTCGATTTTACCAGCTGGTATACCACGGAGATAACAGTTTCAACGGAAGTCGACCATACCAGCTGGTACACAACCGAAAAAACTGTATGTGACTTTCTTGGCTTCCCTTCGGCTTTCGTGTAAGCTAATTTGGTCTTACTAGGTGCCTACGTGGTATACTACGGAGAAGACAATTGAGACCGAAATCGACTATACCAGCTGGTTTACAACTGAAAAAACCGTACGGCTCTCTCGGCTTCACCCCTGTGCTGAATGCACGCTAACCTCGCTGCTTCCTAGGTTCCCACGTGGTACACGACGGAGAAGACGATTGAGACCGAAATCGACTTCACGAGCTGGTATACAACCGAAAAGACTGTATGCTCCCTTCAGCTTTCCCCTGCGCCATGCTCAGGCTAATTTCGCTGCTCTCTAGGTACCCACGTGGTTGACTACAGAAATAACAGTGACCTCTACTGAGACTGATGATGTGACGGTACGAGTCCTATCTGCAATAGCTTTGTACTGCTGCTTGCTCTTCGTTTCTGCAGCTGCTTGGTAGCCCGCTACGCAGGGTTCCCATTTGCGCAGATGGTCTTCCTCCTTTTTCTTATGCTAATTCGGTTGCTAGGTTCCCACGTGGTACACCACCGAAAAGACGGTAACTTCTGTGGAAACTGATGACTTTACGGCAAGTTTCCCTTTATAGACCCGCGGTGTTAAACCGACCAGTCCCCTGTCCTTCTCTGCCGCCTTTTCATCTTCTAATGGTGCTGCGAGGCCGTCGGAGTCTGCATCGATTCCAGCTCCAGTATCCATCTTTTTGCCTTAGAACTCCACTGATGCTGCTTTTAGATCCCCACATGGTATACTACCGAGAAGACTGTGGTTTCCGTGTCAACCGAAGAAATTACAGTAAGATTTCATTCCTACACACCCTCTTTTGCAAAGCCGACTGTCGCTCTTCTTCCACCGCTGCGTCCATAGATGCATGAGACGTGATGTCGGCAATTTCTCAGGCTGCTGACCTTGCGTCATGTGCTGACCTTCTCACTAGGTACCCACATACTTGACTACTGAGAAGACTGTGCTTTCCGTGTCAACGGAAGAGATTACAGTAAGATTTATTTCGCATGCCTCTTTTCTGCAAAACCGACTGTCGCTCTTCTCCGGCCGCTGTGACCACGGATGCATCAGTTTTGATATTGGCAATATCTTAAGCGACTTTTTCATGTGCTAATCTTTTCGCCAGGTTCCTACTTGGCTGACTACTGAGAAGACTGAGCTTTCTGTGTCGACTGATGATATTACAGTAAGTCCTGTTTCCTATGCCCCCTTATCGCTCTTCTCCCGCCGCTGTATCTACAGGTGCATCAGACGTGTTATTGGCAATTTTCAAAGCTATTGATCTCTCGACTTTTACCTATGCTAATATTTCTACTAGATTCCCACTTGGTTTACCACTGAAAAGACTGTACTTTCCGTGTCGACGGATGAGATTACTGTGAGATTTCTTTCCTATGGCCCCTCCTTGCAAAGCCGGCTGTCTTGCCCACAAATGCATCAGACGTGATTTCGGCATTCGGTTCAGCTGCTCATCTCTCGACGTACCGATTTTTCGAACCCTTACTTTCTTAAGCGATTGCTATTTTCTTCACTCCGGCCGCTAATTCTCTTTTCAGGTGCCCACTTATATCACACGAACGACTTCGTATTTCACGACTCAGACAGTCATCAGCTTAATAACAATCACGACTGTATTGCAGCAAAACTTCACCTTCACTGAGACTGTGTCCGGAACCCCAATCGTCATCATTTCAACCACAGAAATTCCGACGACTATCCTTTCAACTATCACTTCATGTGAGCAAACTATTTCATATCTGCCTCTTCGCGTGCAGCATATTTGCCAAGCATCCATGCAGCGGATTTCAGGATTGAGCGCTGACCGCCTTCAGATATTACGACTCCTGGCCCAGTCCAGACCTTAACTATCGAGACTCCCGGGCCCACGAGCATTCTCACAACTCCAGGCCCTTTCAGCTTAGTCACGATACCAGTGACTGAAATCTCTACACTAACTCTAGCTCGTAAGGCTTTTAAATTTTCTTTTTGATTTGATAATACTAAAACCTCGCAGCCTCAACCTCTATCTATACCAGTTTCATCACCCTATCGGGCTCGATCCAGACTATAATAAGCACCTCTGTAGTTCCTGCGAGTACCATTTTGGTGACGGTCACCTCCAGCTTCACTGTTGTCCAGACGAGCGCCTTGACAATAGAAACTCCTGGGCCGACGAGCATTCTCACAACTCCAGGTCCCTTCAGCTTGGTCACAATACCGATCACTGAGATTTCTACACTGACTCTAGCTCGTAAGGCTTTCAATTTTTTCTTCAGTTTAATAATTCTAACATTTTGCAGCCTCGACCTCTTTCTATACCAGTTTCATTACTCTTTCAGGCTCAATTCAGACTATAATAAGCACATCTGTCGTTCCTGCAAGTACGATTTTGGTGACTATTACTTCGGACTTTACCGTCGTCGAGACGAGCGCCTTGACAATAGAGACTCCCGGGCCCACTGTACCAATCACTGAGATTTCTACCCTGACTCTAGCTCGTAAGGTTTTTGCTTGCTTTTTTCCAGTTAAACTCGCTAAGATTTTACAGCCTCGACTTCAGTTTACACCAGTTACATAACTTTATCTGGCTCAATTCAGACAATAATAAGCACCTTTGTCGTTCCTGCAAGTACGATTTTGGTGACTATTACTTCGGACTTTACCGTCGTCGAGACGAGCGCCTTGACAATAGAGACTCCCGGGCCCACTGTACCGATTACTGAGATTTCTACCCTGACTCTAGCTCGTAAGGTTTTTGCTTGCTTTATTCCAGTTATATTCGCTAAGATTTTACAGCCTCGACTTCAGTTTACACCAGTTATATAACTTCATCTGGCTCAATTCAGACAATAATAAGCACCTTTGTCGTTCCTGCAAGTACGATTTTGGTGACTATTACTTCGGACTTTACCGTCGTTGAGACAAGCCCCTTGACAATAGAGACCCCTGGTAAGTCGCTTTCTCAGCCCCGGAAAACAATTGACTGATCTCCGTCCAGGACCAACATCTCTCAGCTTCATTACCATAGAAACTCCCGGTACGTTTCCCTTTCAGGCGTCTCCTGGACTGCTCTTCCTCGCATCTCACATTTTTTGCTAACCTCCATCAAGGGCCAACTTCTCTCAGCTTCATAACTCAGACCTCAACCCTCACATTGCCACCGTCGACTACGATTTTTACCAGTCTCATCACCCTCTCTGGCTCCATCCAAACCGTTATCAGCACTTCTGTTATCCCGGCCAGCACAATCGTACAAACTCTGACTGTTCCGGGACCCACGAGCTTCGTCGAGACTCCAGGTGCGTACCTATCTTAGCTACCTGCCCGTATTTCTTCCTCCTCGCGGCACGAACATCTACTCGGTTTCTAGCTTACATCCTATTATCAATCTCTTCTTCTTTCTCTTCTTATCTCCTATCTTCACACGTCCCTTTCCTGCCTACTTCTCCCTCTGTCTTTCCTTTCCGCCATTCTTTCCCCGCTGAAGTTTACTCAAATTGGGTCTATGTACTAATTTCTACCTAGGCCCAACGAGCGTTTTCACCTCGCTCAGTTTGATAACAGTTACCTCTACACAGACCCTACCCGGCCAGCCCACCACCGTTCTCGCGACTACGACCTTGTCTGGAACTGTATCTCTAATCACTATCACTTCGACTGCTCCAGCTAGCACCGTGTTAGTGACATTTTTGTCCACTATTACCCAGTTTCAAACGTCCCCGGCGACCGTCTCGCCAAGCCTGCCATCCCCGAGCAGTCTCTCTTGCACCCAAGGTTGCGAGGTAGATGTAACTGCAACGCTACTCTCTTTCCCGGGCAAAGTTTCCACTAAGACTGCAACTTTCTACTCTCGGAGTGTTGATGTCTACATTACCAAATATCCGGACGGCACCAACAGCACCAGCACTGGTTCAGCGATTGTCCAGACCCCTCCGCCTCCCCCCACTACCACCTCCGCAATTACATGGACCTTCTCGAGCGAAACTCTGTTAGCATCTCTAATTCCTGGTTCCTCATTTTGCCTGCTAATAGAAACAGAACTTGGCCCACGACCTACATCGTCTACAACGACTTCAGCCACATCACCGCCCTCCCAGAAGCCACAGCCTGCACGACTGTGACCGAGAGCCTCACGCTCCCGTCGCCCACCAATTACGCCCCTCTTATCTACCCTCCTGCGGCGATCAGCCAGTCCGGAAAGCCGCCACAGGCTTTAGTCAATTACCTCAACTCCCTCCCCACTGTCCTCGAGCAGCTGGACGGCACACCCATTGGCTCCTCCTGCGACCCTATCGTCGGCAGCACAAGGACTGCGGCGACGACTTCGCAGAACATTGATCAACTTACTACAGTGACCGCAGTTGCCGATACTACTACTAAAACCCACATAACGATAGCGCAAGCCGACTTTTCAACCAGCACGCCTCCGCCTTCAACGCCTACTCCCTCGTCTCCACCGCCGGCATCAATTCCCACGCCTCCACCTTCAACGCCCACGCCTGAACGATCTAGCTCTGCTGAAGCTCCTTCTTCTCCTCCTCCTCCTCCCTCGCCAAGCTCAGCTGGTACGTCCACAGCGTCTCCTCCACCGCTCAGCCCGTCATCTCCCGTATCCTCGGAATCTGCGGCTGTGCCGAGTAGTAGTAGTGCGGTGGTTCCTCAGCGTCCGTCTACTCCATCTCGCCCGCTATCCGCCAGTCCCACATCTAATACCTCGCCAGAATCATCCTCGAATTCCACTCCCACTCCCGGATCGCAGAGCTCCTCAGGCGCGCTTCCCGGAACTCCATCTACGGCCTCAAGCGCAGGAGAGTCCGGGTCTTCGATCATCGCGCCTACGCACATCTCAACGACTACGACGCGGACATCCGCGCCCCCGCCGAGCTCGGTCCAGAGCGGGTCTACGGCATCTCAGTTCACGGGTGCCGCTGGGAAAGTCAAGTTTGGTGGGGTGGAGGGGTGGTTGCTAGGTGTCGTGGGTGTGGGGGTTGGATGGGTATGAACGCTATCCTCGCCTCATTGATTTTCGATTCAAGGGTTCTCTTGGCGCATTTTTGAGCATGGAGTTTGGAAAAATGATCCGGGTAATTTTAGTGGGCTTTAGGTACTCATTTTGGGGTCTGAGAAGCATATCACGGACATGGTAATACGACACTCCTTACAGCGATACGAGCGATATGGCTACTGGACACTCTTTCAGTCTAATTTTTTCTCTATAATATTATCGGCGAACTGTCGTCACTTCACTCAACTCAATCGATAAACGGCTGGCATTGTTGACGCCGCATTCCAGATTTTGTCGATGCCAAGCCCTTCCCACCCTGATGCTGAGTAAGGAAGTCACGTGAAGCCTTGGAATGATTCGAGTACGGTCTTTTGGAGCACAGATTCGCCTTCTACCGCATGAGAATAACATCCAATTTGTCGATTCATCGGTATTAGTAATACGCATCTTATCCAAGTGGGTGTACATCTGCGTGCCAATCACGTGTCTGAGGGACCGCGTTTTGCGATGACAGCATCAAAGATAAAGAGCAAAGGGAAGATCCAGAGGGGCGCAAGTACGAGAGGACTTAATGTATGTAAGTTACAGATAGGTATATATGAAGCCCCAGGATGGAGCAAAAAAAGGACAAAAAAAAAAGGTCCACCAAGATTCAAACCCAAGACGGGGAATCCCACAACCTAGGCCCCAAGTCGAGATCACCGCAGTGTGCACTCTATGGGCGGTAACGAAATACCCCTAGTTCATGGGAGTGGACCAGTCGTCCAAGATGAGATCACCGCAGTGTGGTCTGACTGGTCCACCTATGAGTTGAATTGATGGAGGGCGCTAGTACCTGCACAACCCCTTTTCGGTAGTTTCACACCCCCCATTTCGGTAAAAGCACACCCCCGCTCTCGTCTGATCTTTCAGTTGGCTGGAACAGCTCGGAGCTTCGTCCGGAGCTCTATTCTCACGTGCATCTGCACGTGTAGCCTTTCTCATTCACTTAGGCGAACGTGAGCTCGTACGTGAGGTTATATATAAGGCTATACAAATCGGCATGGCTATACAGCCTCTCCGTTTTACAGTGCATTTTTTCTAATTCGTGCAGCCGTATATACAGCCGTACGTAAGGCTATACAAATCGGAAAGGATGCGCTGTAAAACAGAGAGGCTCTATAGCCATGACGATTCGTATAGCCTCACGTACGAACTCACGTACTAGCTCACGTGCGCCTAAGTGAATGAGAAAGGCTACACGTGCAGATGCACGTGAGAATAGAGCTCCGGACGAAGCTCCGAGCTGTTCCAGCCAACTGAAAGATCAGACGAGAGCGGGGGTGTGCTTTTACCGAAATGGGGGGTGTGAAACTACCGAAAAGGGGTTGTGCAGGTACTAGCGCCCTTGATGGAGGTGCCGAAAAATAAGCCAGAATATATTCCTAGTGAATCTTCTCAACACAGAACTAGTATCACTGCTGGCTAGGGTTTCGGGGAGCAGAAGCAGCTTGATTATTTACAGAGTACTTCTTTCTGGCGACCCAGTGCTTTTAGCTGTTGAGCTGATCCAGCGACGCCCCTTGCAACGTCGTTTCGCAAGGTCAGCAGATATTCTGTATAAACCAATACATAAAGACTCTGTACCTACCACGACTTCCGTCCGCTTGCATTAGGCCACATATGTCGAGGTCGAGATGGCAGCGTTCACATCAACCTGTTCAATCAGGGATGTGGTCGCCGGTCATCATTCACTATAAAACACTTCAACAATCTAACACCACCGGCAACCGCACTAGGAACTTGGAAACATTCATGACTTTGGACTAACTTGAAGTCCCAATGGCCTATTTAATACCCGTTGTGCACTGCGCAGCTGGCTCCCACATCCATCTCCCACACGCATACGCACACCCCCCTGCCAACGTGTCCACCACCACCATTACTGCCGGCGACTGCCACACCACGCACAGCGCAGCCATTCGGCGTTGACTCATAGTTGGAGTAATTTCTCTTCCGATTAGACATCATGTTCAGGAAATTCACCAACCGCCTACCTGCCATCCCCGAACTTCCCGAACTTCCTCCACTTCCGGATCTATCGACGCTTCGTCTATACGAATATGCGTCCCAGGTGACGCTTCCCACCCTCAATCCCTCTGCGCCCGCAGTACTACAACTTTCAAAAGACCCCGAAGACTCGCAAGAGCTGGAAAACTGGGAGCACGTCGAGGAAAAGTGGGAAGACTCGGACGTCGAGGAGCTCCTCGAAAAGGCGAAGTACCTTCCCCTTGATTCACCAGATGCGCGCAAAGAGATGGATTACTTTGGTTCCAAGGACCAACAAAACCACATTAACATCCAACGTCGAGCGGCCGCCGTGAAGAAGCAGGCGGAGGTGGACAAGAAAACCGCGATCCTCCGTCAGCCGTACATCAGCTTCCGGAAAATCCCCAAGCCACCCGCCATCTCTCTTGACTCCGAATGGGAGGAGGAACGAGATAAGGAGGACTTTGCCGAGTCCAACTTCATGTATTGCCGGCCATCCATGAGAAAGGAGTTCGAGGACTACCATGGCACTCCTTACGCGCAAGAGGCGCTTCGTTTGGACAAGGAGCGACGAGAGCGAAAGAGACGGGCTGAAGTTGCTGCGATTCAGGACGCGCGAAGGAAGGCTGACTGGGAGAGGAAGCTGAGGGAGAACGAAGAGTTTGCACAGCCTCTTCTCGAGGCGTTAGCCAGGCAAAAAAAGGAGAAGGCGGAGGCTGAGTGGCTTCTAGTCAGCCCCATGGATGACGAGGCTCTCCGTCTTGAGATGCAAGGGAGGAAAGACGTCGACCTTAAATTGGAGAAAGAAGCTCCCTCATACGAAGCCTCGATCGAGGGCAGAGGAAAGGCAGGGCCCGAGGCCCCTCGGCATTCGATGATCGACTTCGAGCTGATGTCTTCGCCGAACACATCAGAGCCGCTCTACGTTGAGAGCATCGAGTCGACGCCTGTCCAGGAACTGAAAAGTCTCATTGACCCCGATGCCCCTCAAGTCGAACTCGTGTTTAATGCGTCCGACCAATCCCCCTCGCCGGTGCAGTTCCCAAAACGTCTTCTTGCAGCCTTCTCCCCCTTCTTACGAGCCCACTTCGCCCGTAGCGATGTCGCCCACGACGTCGTTTATCTCCACTTGACCGAAATTGACCATGCGACATTCATGCTGCTCTACCGCTGGATGCATATGGTGTGTCTGGGAAAATACACACCTGGTACCCATCGCCCTGAACCCTACGAACCTTCTGATACCATCCTCCAGCTTCCAGAACTTGGTGCCCACCAGAGTCTGAAGACCCAGGTTAAGCTGTTCTGCGCGCTCAACCAGCTGGATATTCACCTTCCTAAGCTCCAGCTCCGAGACTTAATCTGCACACACTTCCCTATTCCAGACGGGCCCATCGTATCGACCAGTCTGGACAACGATTCTGCTCCAGAGTTTTTTCCCGCTGACGACATTAGGCTCGTCCTCAACGGCATCAAACTCATAAACCTAAGGAGAAAGACACCTGTAAGCTCCTCAAGTCCCAAGCAACATCAGAATCAGGTACTCCGCAACCGCGAGCTAGAAAAAGAGGAGTGGGACGAGTCAGACGAAATCGAGTACTTCATGCACACCCACATCGCTCGCTACATAGTCTTGCTCCAAGCCTTCCGCCTCTTCAGAAAAGAGTACGCCCGTTTCTTGAACGAAGAGGATGACGCAATTGCAAGACCGCTTGCGCTTGATGTGCAGAGACATAAGAATCTCAGGAGGTGCGTCGAGGTGTGGCAGCGGCAGGTTCCTGACGATGTGGCTGAGATGGAGGTGGAGACGGAGAACAGTGCCGAGGTGGATAGGGTTAGGATGTTGTTGGAGCGGGACCCCCATGAGGGCGAACTGTCCTCGGCATGGCACTGCGGAGGGGGTGGGATTATCTGGGGGAGAAGGAAGTAGTTGCTGTAGGTGAGAAGGGAAAGACGTCGGCAGTGGGACCTTAAAAGCTGTATTGCGGGATAGGTTTCTGTTCCAACGTTCATATATTTTAGCGTTGTAAGGAATAGTATCGCCACGTCCCCGATATTCAAGCGCCAATGTTCGACCACATCGATCTGCTAGACAATTGAATAGGCACGGAAGTTAGATATCCGTGAAGCACTTCCAGCTTAGATTAATGAAAGCAAAGCAAAAGGCGTTCTTATCTAGCAATAACCAAACTCAAAGCTAACTAAATCAAATCGGCCGTTACCTTCAACCCATCTCCTCCCACGATCTTGCAATTTGTCCCAACATCCACCATCTCTCTATCTCAGATACCTTCGACCGTCCCCAGTTCGTCTCATTCTCCGTGGCCCACTGCTCACCCAACTTGCTTCGCGGACAAGCGCCCATCAGACCTTGAGTCCATGAATCTTCCATGCATGCTCATTGCGCTTGTCGGCACGGGGGAATGGCCTCCCTGGACGACCGTGGAAGAAGTTCTGGCTACGCGGGCACCCGGCTACCTGGCACCAAAATGCAGACCGCTTCACATGCATGTTGTCGACGTGGCGCTCCATGTCGGCTTTACGGTTGAAATCGCTTGTGCAGTGAGTGCACGGGAAGTGAATTCGCTTGGTTGGGTTCGCACCGGGCGGGAACTGGCGCCGAACGCGATTTAGTGGAAAAGAAATAAATCTTGTTGCATATCGGTTAGCTAAAAAAAAAAGGGGGGGGGGCTCACCCAGGCTCAGCGCCACCATCTCCCAGATTGGGAACGGCTGGCTCGCTGAGTCTAGGAGGTTGTGTAAGTCCTCTGCTCCTGGTTGGATGGGCGACTTCAGCTTCGCCCAAAAAGGGCATAGCGAAGGGCGTAGTGCATGATGCACCTCTGTGGGGATCCTGGAGGGGCGGCCAATCAGAGCCAAGGCCCAGTTGGGTATCAAGAAGGCTGGAGTCAGCCTGCTGCATGCTGGGAAGGACTTCTGGCGAGAGATTCTGGAAGGAGTATTGATGAAAGTTGACCCCAGGGTTGAAATCGAGAAGACCAGGTTGAGGACCAAACGTAGTGGCTTCCATGAAGTCGGAAGAGTCGTATGGAGCAGCTTCCATGAAGGCGGAAGAGTCGTGGATAGGCATCGAGTTCATGTTGAAGTTGGTTTGGTTGCCAGACATAGCCACTTGAGTGTGAAAGTCGGCGGAGTCTAAGCCAACAGCTCCGGGCTGGCTGCCAATTGCAAATGCTGGAGCATTGACGAAGGCTGGAGTCGTGAAACCGGGCGTCTCGAAGGGCGGCCAATAGTAGGCCGGCTCCACGTGGTTCGTATCAGAAGGCTGGGTAGACGACGAGGCTGAGCCTTGGCTGGCGTAAACCTGGCCGAATTGGTCGTAAAATACGGGGTGATCCATGGCGAAGGTCGAGCAGCGGTGAGGTTTGAGTAGATTTTGTGTGTGTAGTGCCATTGGGGAGTGTTGTAGACTTATGCGCGGGCTGATAGGGAGGAAAGGTCTGCATGTAGTACGGTATTGATATGGTATTGATCCAGCGCCCCCTCTACCTTCGCCCTCTTGTGCCTGCCTTCGAGCGCTGCGCAACTACAGGGCCTCTCCGCCTCCTCCTCAATATCCTCTGCCCAACGTCGCTTTCTTGTGTTGCGATCCCAGTGAGGACAGTGATTAGTATTTGGCTAATCAGAACGGGCAAGTATGTCTACTTCAGCTCCTTCATTGCAAGTGGCTTTGCTTCTCAGAAGTGAGAAAATGATGCGAATGAAGACGATTAAGACCGGGTTGATCTTCGTGGTTGATAAGGTTAGAGTGATCAACGCAAAACGACTAAGTCCCCTTACATCAGATTGATTGTCCTGTATTGCAGTCGATTTCAGTAGATTTCGGTGAAATTTAGTGGATTTCTTGGATTTCCTTGGATTTCACTAGATCTCGTAGGATATCCCACGGTAATCCTGCAGGATTAGTCAACTAAGGCGGATCGATTTTTACATACACCATATGAACACAAGACGGGGGTATTGTAGGAAGGTTCAATTTATTGATAAGTCTGGAAACGGACGCAGTTACTCCTCCGACCATTTAAATCTTCAAGAGTGATGAGAGCTGCAATCAGGCCGAGCATAGAGCAGGAGAGCATTTTCCAAGATGGGCAGGAGCAAGGGAGCCATAGAGTCAAAGTGGTTAACTCATGATTGTTCATTGTGGAGATCTCTGGGAGAACCGGAAGGAGATGCTAGTATGAGAGAAAAGAAAAGGGAAAAGAGGAGGACTGAGTGGCTCCACAAATACCGAAGAGCACTGTTTAATCGAGCACGCGGGACATGAAAAAGGTGGCACTCTGCACGGGTGTGTGCGCATGTATGCTACTGCTTGGGGTGCTTTAATGCATCTTCACAAAGCTAAACAGGATAGAAGTTCTTCAATCTAGGCTATGTGGGAACTTTTTGAAGCACTCTGAGCAGTGGTAGACAGGTGCACCTATAAGACAGCCTGGTTGATAAGTGTCAACAGAAAGTGGCAGCCTACGAATCCGCAAGGTATATACACACCGTTTCTATGCTTGTGTACGCTTGTTTAGCACCGCTTGAGTCCCTCTAGTATGCTATTATTATTTATGAAATACCAGCTGTGGCAAGCTTGATAGCTCTCTAGGCCACCTCAGACGGTGTTGAACTGCCGAGTGTGCCACCTTTTTCATGCCCCGCGTGTCTAGGTAGCTCAGACTCTGGTTGGATTAGGCGCTGTAGCGCACTAAATCACAACGAACTACACCAAGAGAAGCCTCAGGCCGAGCGGGGCGAAAGCGGGAGTTTGGCATTGGTCGGACTGGAAGCCTTTCCAGGGGTGCCACAGTGGTGCCGAAGACTGGATGGAGCCTGTACTCGCACCATGCTTTGCAGAGTAGGTCCTTAGTAACGTTAGCGAAGGTACAGTACTAAGCCATAAGTCTGGGCACACAGATACCATTGCTTGATTACCACTTCCGAGAGCCAGTTACCACTGTCAGGAGGACCTCCATTGCTAGGAAGCAGACCTTGCAAAAGGCAGCCTAGGTTCCGCTGTATGACACTTGACATCGCGTCAAGATCATGGAAACCCCATGGGGCACCCCAAGCAGTGGTAAAAGCGTGTGCCCAGACTTATGGCGTGTCAATGTAAGAGCAAGATAGTGATAACTTACTCGCTGCTCGGCGCAGTCGCGGCGAAGAAACAGGCTTTGGTAGGCGTGCTCCATGATGTAGATGTACTTGTTGAGGAACATGACGCGCACCGCCCGCAAATTCTTCAGATCACGCTGTGGCAGCTCCGGATATTCAGCGTAATTGTAGGTCCGTTCAAAGTCGATCACGTTCGCGATGGGTGCGAACATGGCCATGGCTGTTCCCATTGGATCCTCGCTCCAGTGATTTTTCCAGATGGCTTCTCGATCAGGATCTGGCAGGTCACGCACGCGTAGGCTTGGGAACCTTCGAGAGAAATCCTTAACTAGGAACTTCACCTTGGGAATGATGAATTTGGTGATGATCGCTTTTTCGTATTTGTTTTGGCCATTCTTGAGTTTCTGCTCTACTGCACCAAGCTTCCATGTTCGGCTGGATATATAGAGAAAGGCTTGCAAGTCAGCTGGATGAATGGCGTTTGCAATGGCGTAGATGATCTTTCCTGCAGGCTCGATGAAGGATTCACTGTCCTCTACGTTGCAGTTAGTGACGATGCACCAACTCGTAGATATATGGAAGTAGGTACCTATATCATGTCTGATCGTACGAGAGCCACCCGCAGCGGCGGGCTCCAGTCTTGCTCACTCGACACCACTGTGAGGAGCGGCCCAGCTATTAAGCAGCCAAGAAGCAGTCCAATTTACATTACTTGAAACTTGACATCGCGCCTGCGTTTTCGAAATTCCCTGGGGGTATCCGAAGCAGTGGTAAACGCGTGTGCATAGACTTATGACCTACCACTATATTAAGAGATGAGGTACACGAGTGCAGCAGATACGCCAAGAAGAAAAACTTGAGCTCCCATTAAATTTATCGAATAGGAGAAGGCCAAGTGAAGACTAAGGTGCAGCCCATACCAGTATAAGGCTGGTACGGTATCTCATATCTCGGTTCTAGGTTTTTTCTAGATGGCATGGAATACCACGGACTGAGAGATTGCCGAAAAGACTAGTCCAATTACATGTGTCCAGAATCTGGCCTTGTATTAGTTGCGCGGACATAGAAAGCGGTCTGCCAGCTTCCTTTCAACATCCCATTCATGTAATAGTCATCGCGGCCAATAGCCTCCCATCAAGAAGTTCGTACAGTACTAGGTCATAAGTCTGGACACATGGATTTATCACTGCTGAGCTTCAATCTTGCTCACTTGACACCACTGAGGAGCAGCCCAGCTAGTAAGTAGCCAGCCGGTCAAGAGGATATCTAATTTGCACTGCTTGAAACCTGACATCGGACCTCAGTGTTTGAAATGCTATGGGGGTACCCTAAGCAGTGGTAAACGCGTGTGCACAGACTTATGGCCAATCACTGTAGGCAGGTTCCCTTGTAGCAGCCTTCCTTCTCATACAACTTCTCCAATGACACCGGAATTGGTTCTTTGACTCAGCCTCTCTAGCTCCGAGTTTGTACGGCTAGTGCTCGTCATTTCGAAGCCAGAGTTGACCCTTTCCCTTTCGTTGACCCCGAGTCCAATGCGTCTGTTGACTTCCTGCTCGAAAAGCCTTTTTTCGCGCCACTTCTTCGTCCATGATTTTACGATTGGAGGCGCGATCTCGATTCCAACAAGCATGACAACGCCAGCAAGAAGAGCAAACGCCTGGTCCATTTCTAGAATGGACTGAGGAGCGCAGGGGATAAAGAAACAAGCCTTGTGAAATGATTTCCCCCCCGTGAAGATGAACTTCAAAATTGTGACCAAAACATGGAATGGAAGGAAAATGAAAACTATGCTTATAGTTACGAGAATCGCTCCCACCGGTATTACTGGGACAAAGCAGATCCACATGATTATGTCGAAGGCGACTACGCTGGGATTTTCAATCTCCAGGAGGACGCAGAGAGACGACATGAATACCGTGAAAGCAGTGAGAACTACGGCCGGATAGAAGCTGTAAAAAAGCACCCAGATCCGCTGCCAGTCAAAAGAGCGAAATACTGCAGACCCGACGCAGAGGCGATAGAGAAGAATGCCGGCGAGTAGTAAGACGAGAATGAAAACCGGAACCCAAAGCCAGTTGACGAAAAGCAGAAAGTCATGTTTTGCAGAGCCCATCCCGTTCCAAAACATGGCAGGCGTTCTGTCGTCCAGGGTACTGAATTGCATCGAAGCCACCGAAGCTAGGGCTTGAGATAGCAACGGAATCATTAGGCCGCCGCTCAACATCCAAAACTTGAATGGGCGTGGTCCATCGTGAAATACACCAAAAACAATCGATTGGAGCAGTATATGCGCAGTTCCCTGCCACACTATCGTCATCGCCGCACCGTATTGGGCCATGATGTCGTCCTCAGGGTGGCCTTCTACGTGCACAGATTGCCGTACTTGCTGAACTCGACGCATGAGATCAAGAGCAGCGTAATTAGTGGCGATAACGAAGCTGAGCGTATTGGGATCTAATTTGGACCGCTTTCCCGTGAACGCGCGGTACCAGGAACCGACAATCCAGAGCATCCATGCCGCCCATGCTCCTGGCCCATAGAAACCGCTGACTTTGGATACACCTAGTGGGTCGGGTGGTGTTGATGATATAGATAAATAGATGGGCGGGTCTGTGGGCGTTGTGGTGGATGATGAAGATGAGGTTGATGTCGGAGAAGTTGAGTTCGACACGGATGAGGGCTTAGGATTTTGATCCACAGTCACCTCTATGATGAGAACGAAGAACGTGAGTGCAAGGAGAATCAGGGTGCCAAAATAGTATCTACTGAGCAAACCCATTCTGTCAGAATTTGAAGATTTAGACGACAGAAAGAAGAGACTTTAGGGATATCCGAAGCCGCGCGGGGCGGTTCAGCTGAGTGTGGCTTAGACAATGTGGCTGTGAAATCCACTAACCAACCTGAGGTCGGGCTGGAACCTTGGAATTGCCCTGGGAGCCTTTTTAGTCACAAAATATCAAATTCCTCTCTATTTATTAAGATAGAGCTCTAGGGTACTTCAAAAGTTCTGGCTTCCTTGCTTTCATAACAAATGCCCTCGAAACCTGTTCCTTTTTACCTACAGTTTCTCGGTTTCTTGTCAATCTGTGGCGTCTAGTAGGGGGTACCATGACTCCGTATTCTGCAAGCTACAAGCGTACTCTAGGTAGCCGTCCGCGAATCCCGCACGTAACTTCAGCTTTCAGCCTCCCTCCAAGTTCTCGAAGGGCAAGCAAAGACTTCTCGAGTATCCCTTCTCCCTCTCTCAAACTTCAATTCAAGCGTCGAACATCACGTTAACATGTTGATATCCTCAGTGCTCTTCCTCTTCATCACATCGGTAGCTCTCGCGGAGTCATTGATCACACAGCCTATTCTATTCCAATCGTCGCTCGCACGTCCGACCACAAGCTCGACTGTAAACACACTGGTACCATCTCCAACATCAAAGTCACCCTACCTGCTGCCTATTCGCGCTACGCCGCCTGACCCGCTAGGCATAGCCCAGGTTAGCGGCTTCTACGGACCCGGCGCATGGGCAGCCTTTATCCTATGGATCTCAGGCTCCTGGTATCGCCTCTTCGAGGATCAAAAAGCCCCCGGCGAACGCCAAAAAATTGATGCCAATGCATGCGCATTTCTGCTTGCAACCAACTGCGCTGCCATTGACGTCCTGCGCCGCGTCCCATCTTGGTTGGAATCATTGCAAGTTGATTCCGGAATTGCAGATCGAGAGAAAGAGATGGGAAGCTTTGGAGCGGCCATCACAATCGTCTGGGTTGGAATGGTGAATTCATGGGTCCAAAGCTCGATTCGGTGGATAGAGCTTAACGAGGACCATAAGTCGTTCAGAATGTTGACTCTTATCATTGGCCAGATCTTACCGTCATCGGCCCTGGCAACGGTGTCCTTAGCCTCATGGGCCATATCTGGAGATCTCGATAGAATACCGGCATTATACTTCGAAGGATCGGGCGAGGCGCTGCATTGGGTATTCTTTCAAAGTGCTCTCTCGCCTGGTGTGATGTCGGTCATCGCATACTGGCTCTGCGTCATCTACTTCTTGTGTACATGGAACTTCAGACTGGAACCGTTTAATCTATTCATCAGAATATGTTCTGTAACCGTCATAATCCTCATCCCTCAATTACTCTTCTTCCTTGTGACAAGAGCTCAATCAGTATCTTATCTCTATATTTGTTTCTTTCCCGTTTTTGTCCTTATGTCCACTTTCTTTTTATATTTTGTGTTATGCTTTATCTTCCCCTTGTACGCTTTGGTGACATTTCGGAGCATCATCTTTACGCGCGGTCGGACGTACAATGAGGCTTGTTTCTTTATGCCTTGTGCTCCGCAGTCTTTATTAGAGATGGACCAAGCATTCGCACTTATCTCCGGAATTGTCTTGCTTTTATTGACCGAAATTGCGCCTTTGGTATTGGAAAAACGACGCGAACGACGCAAGTTCGAAGAAGAAGTCAGGAATGAGAGAATAGACTCTAGCGTTGAGTTGACGCACACCGGTCGTGCGGAGGTGGAGAATCTTAGTCGAAGGACCAATTCCGGAATAAGCAGACAGGTAGTTTGAATTACAATCACTTTGTAGAGACCGGATGGCGAGATCAAGTCGAACTCCTCCACGTAGAAATTCGAACGCAAGTACAGTAGTTCCACCTAGCGGCCACCGTTTTCCTCTTCCCAGAGCGCGATCCACACCAGCTCCCTTCTTAGCACCACTACTATTCATATCCTCCCTAATATCAACCTCGTCCTTATCACCTCTGAACCTGCCCTGTTACTCCAACGCAGCCTCTCATAATCCATCACCCATCGCCTATTGCATCTCTTGATTCCAGAGCTACCCATCCCCCTCATAATCCATCCAACCGCACCCAGCCGCACCACTCCCCAAGACCATCATCGTAGCCAAAAAAGGCAAAAAGGAAACCACCCACCCTCCCCAGCGGAATCGAACCCGCACCTCCACGCATCAAAAAACTCAGGCCGAAGCCCTCCAAAAACCCCAGAGGGATTTTTACTGTAGAAACTAGAGAAAGCTAGGCTGTTCTGAAGAAATCTACTGTCACACTCACTGCACAAATGTGACAGCCCCCCCGAAGTGGACTCGACAGGGCGAAATGTTGGGTATATATAGGTGAGGTGGAATAGGTAGATTGGATGTCAGCAGGTAGGCACCGGGTCTCAAAGAGAGCACACGAGGAAAATCTTTGACGTTCGAAGTTGCGATTACTTGGTCATCTTTAATGGCTATCCAGCCTTCCGATCAACCGGCCACTCTCCTTGCCCTTCTCTTTCTCTCCTCCCCTCCCCTGCCTCCCCTCCCCTTCCCTCTCCTCTACCTTCATCTCCCGTATCCCCCCCCTCTCCCCCATCCCCAACCCCCACCC